GTATTAGTAATATTGAAATATGTTTTATAAATGACAATTTTGACACATGTCAGATACTTTTATTATTGCTCCACTATCAAGTCGACTAGAATAAGTATTAGTAACATTGAAATATGTCCTATAAATGACAATTTTGACACATATCAGTTACTTCTATTACTGAACCACTATCAAGTCGACTAGAAGTATTAGTAACATTGAAATTTATCATAAAAATATCAAATTTGACATATGTCAAATAAGTCAAAGTACGAATAAATAAACCACAAATACACTTAACAATCCAACTAATCAAATTAACCAATCTTCACCCATTTTTTTTCTTCTATATATCCATCTCCCTCCATTCCACCATCCCTCTCTCTCTCACACACAAACACACAACATCTTCGCATCATTCATTTTTCGCATGAAAGAACCCCTCTCTCTCTCTCTCCCTCTCTCTCTCTCTCTTTCTCTCTCTCTCTCTCTCTTTCCGTGCACACGCACACAATGCGATACAGTGACGTCACGACGTCATTGAGCGACGTATCCCGAAAAATCGAGTGACCCAGTGACCCCAAAAGCGCGCCTCTCTCTTCCCGTCTCTGTCCTTTCCGCTCGTCGTCGCTATCTCGCTCTCGCTCCCGCCGGCCCGGCGGCGTCCCATTCAAGGCGGCCGTGCTCTCGCTCCTTGTCTATATCGCCGTCCTCGTTTGGCCGCCTGCGATTCCTGCGAGCTAAATTTAGCGACGGCGAGTCGACGACCCCGCGGAAAGTAGGCCGTGGCGCTCCGGATTTGTGTATACAGGGTGGACCGGAAAAGTCGCTCTCTATAGGGAAATGCCTTATTGGAAACGACAATGGAGATGACGAAAGTGCGGTCGGAAATATGGAAAAGTTTTTCCTTTTGGTAAATAGAGAGGTTTAAAATTGACCAATCCTGGTAGCAGTGAATTAGATAGGTGAATTAGATATACAGTGAGGATCAAAAGTCCGTCGCCCCCTCCCCCCTTTTTAACTTTTCAATGGTAAGAGCTTTTGTTGCGCAATTTGGGGTGTTTATATTGGAGGAAAAATACTATTTTTGACGTAAAAATGACAGTTGAAACTTTGAAAATGACAGTTAGGTGCCATTTTGAATCTTTTTTTCTTATGGAAAGGGGGTCAAGTGACACCTCGTTTTAAAGGTAATTTAATTCTTAAGTCAACCCCCAAATTTGAAAATATTTTATTAACGCGTATTCACGTGAAGACCAATTTAGTTTTAACCCCCAGGCATATTGATACATTTAAAAATTAATTCTGAACGTACTATAAAATGTGTCAATAAATTGTTGCTATGGTTTCTTGGCTCTGACATTTATTTGTCAAATTTAAAGTTGATGAAATTGACAATGGCTCGTCATTTAAACGAAAAAAACTGTCACTTTCATCAACTATAAATTTGACAAATAAATGTGAGAGTCAAGAAACCATAGCAACAATTAATTGACACATTTTATAGTACGTTCAAAATTAATTCTTAAATGTATCAATATGCCCGGGGGTTAAACCTAAATTGGTCTTCACGTGAATAAGCGTTATTAAAATCTTTTCAAATTTGGGGGTTGACTTAAGAATGAAATTACCTTTAAAACGAGATGTCACTTGACCACCTTTCCATAAGAAAAAAAGATTCAAAATGGCGCCTAACTGTCATTTTGAAAGTTTCAACTGTCATTTATACGTCAATAAATAGTATTTTTACTCCAATATATTAATAAACACCCCAAATTGCGCGACAAAAGCTCTTACCATTCAAAAGTTAAAGGAGGGGGCGACGGACTTTTGATCCTCACTGTACATCAATTTGACATTATTGGAGGATTTTATGTCATTTTCACTTTCAAGGTTAACAAAAGCTGCCAAAATCAGCTGCGACTATTGATGAATGATTTGCTTTAAAATTTCCCGGTGGGGCTTGATTTCTGGGCCACCCTGTATATGTGCGTTACGGTCGCTGTGCACGCGGGCCCGGAGGATTTATGTTTTATGTTTTTGGGGGAAAAACCGGATTTTTTTTATCGCGTTTGTCCCGAATTGGGTTATGTGTGGCATAAGTTAAGGGTGCTTTGGAAACTAGAGATTGACAGATGACTAAAATACTGTCAAATTTAATGATAGTTATGTTAAATATGTGTTAAAGAGAATCTGTCTAAGGTTACGTTACCGGATAATTAATATCTTCTTCAATTATTAGGAATCTGTCAAAGTTAATGATCTGTCAAATTTGGATTAAAGAGAATCTGTCTAAAGTTACGTTTCAGAAAAGTTAATATTTTCTTTCATTACTATGAATCTGTCATTTTTAATGGATCTGTCAAATGTGGGTTAAAGAGAATCTGTCTAAAGTTACGTTACCGGATAATTAATATCTTCTTCAATTATTAGGAATCTGTCAAAGTTAATGATCTGTCAAATGTGGATTAAAGAGAATCTGTCTAAAGTTACGTTTCAGAAGAGTTAATATTTTCTTTCAAATTACTATGAATCTGTCATTTTTAATAGATCTGTCAAATGTGGGTTAAAGAGAATCTGTCTAAAGTTACGTTACCGGATAATTAATATCTTCTTCAATTATTAGGAATCTGTCAAAGTTAATGATCTGTCAAATGTGGATTAAAGAGAATCTGTCTAAAGTTACGTTTCAGAAGAGTTAATATTTTCTTTCATTACTATGAATCTGTCATTTTTAATGGATCTGTCAAATGTGGGTTAAAGAGAATCTGTCTAAAGTTACGTTACCGGATAATTAATATCTTCTTCAATTATTAGGAACCTCTCAAAGGTAATGATCTGTCAAATGTGGATTAAAGAGAATCTGTCTAAAGTTACGTTTCAGAAGAGTTAATATTTACTTACATTACTATGAATCTGTCATTTTTAATGATCTGTCAATTGTGGGTTAAAGAGAATCTGTCTAAAGTTACATTTTCGGATAATTAATATTTTCTTAAAATACTGTCAAGTCCAATGGACTGTCAAATTAATATAAGTTAAAGAGAATCTGTCTAAGGTGTCGGTACCGGATAATTAATATTTTCTTAAATTACTCTATAAATTTATGTCAACAATCTAATTTGAGAATCTGTCAAATATCCGTCAAACTAAAGAAAATCTGTCTAACTTTACGTTCCCGGACAATTAATATATTCTTAAATTATTAAGAATCTCTCAAATCTAAGGACCTATCAAATTACACGTTAATTACAGAGAATCTGTCTAATGTTACGTTACCGGATAATTAATGTTTTTTTTAAATAACTAAAAATCTGTCTAACGTTACGTTCCCGGATAGTTTATATTCTCCCAAATCACACGAAATCTGTCTAATATCACGCCACACGGACAACTATTCCAATTTTTTCCGAATCCAAACTGGAAAATATATTCGCATAAAAAAAATACATGTCCATTTTGGCATTCTGTGCAGCAAAACGACATTTACCAAATATTCCATTGACCTTTGACCGTCCCGGTCGACGGCCTACTTTTCGCATCCGTACCGCGACCCATTTTCTCGTCTATGACGTCACCGAATCCCACTTTACGTCATCGTTTCCACGGCAACCCGGACTCGAATCTCCTAAACTCATCCCTATATACAGATAGATATATATCGGGTCAAAGAATTCCCGAAGTGGAACGAATGTATTTTTTAACGAAATTTTTATTTAATTTAACTAACACCCTGTATATGTCTTGTTTAAGTTTTTATGAGAGGAAATAATTGAGCGGGTTGGAATGGAAATTGAAACTGTTTGGTTTATTTTGATAGTTTTTATTGAGGATTAATAAGTATATATCATAGATTTTATCTACAAAAAGGCACTAAAATTGTTTACAATTTGTTTGTTTTTTTAGTTCATAAAGCGGGTAGAAATTTTTTTTTTCGTTTTTTTTTTATATATAATAAAAGACGCGTTTTTTTACAATAATATCGCCGGTGCTCGATTATAAATACGAAACGATTTCAATACGTGAAAACTAATTGAGTTTTTTTTTTCTCGCATCCCTGTATATTACAACTTGATTAATTATAGTAATTGAATCTGATTAACTACCGATTTAAAACAGTCTTATCCTTTATACATTTTACGATTCGAGATATGATAATATTTATACAAAAAAATATTAATCGTAACTTAACAGAGACGTTAAATATAAACGAGATTTTATAATCATAAGAACTACGCTCTAATTAACGCTCCGTTATTTAGAAAAAATAAACGTTAAATTTAACGCCTTGTTATACAAAAAAAAACCATTAACGGTCCGTTAAATTAACATATAACAGTAAAACGCAATAAAAACGTTAACTTTCCGTTAAATTAACGCAACAAAACGCAAAATTAACGGTCCATTAAATTAACGCAACGGTAAAACGCAAAAAAAAACAATTATGTCCGTTAAATTAACGTAGCAAGACGCAAAATTAACGGTCCAAATTAACGCAACGGTAAAACGCAAAAAAAACCAATTATGTCCGTTAAATTAACGTAGCAAGACGCAAAATTAACGGTCCAAATTAACGCAACGGTAAAACGCAAAAAAACCAATTATGTCCGTTAAATTAACGTAGCAAGACGCAAAATTAACGGTCCATTAAATTAACGCAACGGTAAAACGCAAAAAAAATCAATTATGTCCGTTAAATTAACGCAGCAAGACGCAAAATTAACGGTCCGTTAAATTAACATATAACGGTAAAACGCAAAAAAATAACAATTTTGTCCGTTAAATTAACGTAGCAAGACGCAAAATTAACGGTCCGTTAAATTAACATATAACCTAGCAAGACGCAAAATTAACGCTCCGTTAAATTAACATATAACGGTAAAACTCAAAAAAAAACCAATTAACCGTCCGTCAAATTAACGCAACCGATAAAACACAAAAATTAACGGTCCGTTAAATGAACTCGTAACAACGGTATATTGCCAAACGAACGTCTAAAATTCCGCACCGCCGCCGAACCTTCATCGGTACTTCATCCTGCAATCGCACTCCTGACACCACCTGGAGCTCTTCGGCACCCTCCTGGTGGGCAACCCGCTCAAACCTTTGGCGTAGGCGTAGCTCACCGGCTGCCTCAGGATCCTCTTCGGCTGCTCCTGCTTCTTGCCCTTACTCCGCTTGTTCGCCGCCTCCTCGCCGCCGCCGGCGTCGGTGCTGCGCGACCTGCACCCCCCGCCCCCCGTCAGGCTCATCGACCCGAAAGCCTTCCGCAGGCTCTCCGACGACGCCGACCTGTCCAACCTGGAGCTGGAGCTCGACGAGCTGCTCGAGCGGCAGTACCTTTGGGCGCCTTTGGAGGCGAACGAGCAGCTGCTGGATGAGCTCGACGAGCTCGAAGAGCTGCTGGAGGAGGAGCTGGAGCAGTCGAGCTCCTCGCTGTAGACGAAATGGTGGCGTCTGGTGAGGCGCTTGGTGATCAACTTGAAGAGCTTGATACCTCGCAGGTCGGGGTTTTTGGTTACCGGCTGGTCCACGTCGAACGGTACCAGCACCAGCACGTTGTTGTGGTCTTGAGGCATTTTTAACTGGCGGTTATAATTTTTAACTGTCGGTTATATTTAACTGTCGGTTATAATTTTTAACTGTCGGTTATAATATTTAACTGCCGGTTATAATTTTTAACTGCCGGTTATAATATTTAACTGTCGGTTAAAATTTTTTTTTTCTCGATTTTTGAAAGCGTTTCGTTTAAAGGGGTAGATCGAGCGCGAATGTCTGGCGGTTGGTTTGTGACTGGAGCTCGTGGAGGATGTGGGGGTTGTTTTATAGGGGCGGAAGGGCAGGCGCACGTTCGTTGCGACCGGTTCGGGGCACGTGAGTGTTCCTGGGTGGTGTGCGTCGGGATTTTGTTTTGCCGCGTATTAGGGGTGGGTTTGTTTTTTTACGTAAGGGGAGTAGGTGGCTGGTGCGTTGTGTCGTTGGGGGATGTTGGGAGAGCGGGGGATGAATGGCGGTTGGTTGGATGCGTTGGGATTTGGGATTGATGGTGTGAGGGTATGTCGGGGTGGTTTGTATGTTGTATACAGGGTGTGTTTGAATGAGGTTCGAGAAAAGTTTGGGGGGTGGGTGGGTGATGGTGGCGTGTGGTTGAAGTGCGTTTGTTTGTTGTTATTTTTTTTTTTTTTTTCTCGGAAATGTTTGAGTTTTGAGCGGAAAATTTGTAGAGATAAAAAAGTTGGTAAATGGATTGGGGGTTTTGGTCATATTTTTTTAAAAGAAAAATTTTTGTCTAATAAAAAGTTGTAAGGAAAAATGTGTTAGGGGTTGATTATTTCGACCCCCTCTAAGCATACTGAAGGGTTGGAAAAAATTTCAAAATCTGTAGTTTCATTGATAGATAATATTCCCCGAGTTTCGCGACTTTAGCTTAATATACAGGGAAAATAAAGAAGAAAAACCAATTTTTTTGTTCAATAAAATGCTATTTAACATGAGCTTGCAGTACATTTATTATTTTTTTGCTCGTAAATGCTTGAGTTTTCGAAAAAACTTGTAGAGATAAAAAAGTTGGTAAATGAATCGGGTTTTTTGGTCATATTTTTTTAAAAGAAAAATTTTTATCTAATAAAAAGTTATAAGAAAAAATGTCTTAGGGGTTGATGATTTCGACCCTTTTTAAGCATACTGAAGGGTTGAAAAAATTTCAAATCATGTAGTTTCATTGATAGATAATATTCCCCGAGTTTCGCGACTTTAGCTTAATATACAGGGAAAATAAAGAAGAAAAACCAATTTTTTTGTTCAATAAAATGCTATTTAACCTGAGCTTGCAGTACATTTTTTTTTCTCGTAAATGCTTGAGTTTTTCGAAAAACTTGTAGAGATAAAAAAGTTGGTAAATGGATTGGGCTTTTTGGTAATATTTTTTTAAAAGAAAAATTTTTATCTAATAAAAAGTTATAAGAAAAAATGTCTTAGGGGTTGATTATTTCGACCCTTTTTAAGCATACTGAAGGGTTGAAAAAATTTCAAAATCTGTAGTTTCATTGATAGATAATATTCCCCGAGTTTCGCGTCTTTAGCTTAATATACAGGAAAAATAAAGAAGAAAAGCCAATTTTTTGGTCAATAATATGCTATTTAACATGAGCTTGCAACACATTTATTTATTTTTCTCGTAAATGCTAGAGTTTTCGAAAAAAAAATGTAGAGATAAAAAAGTTGGTAAATGAATTGGGCTATTTGGTCATATTTTTTTAAAACAAAAATTTCCATCTAATAAAAAGTTATAAGAAAAAACTTCTTAGGGGTTGACTATTTCAACCCCTTCTAAGCATACTTAAGGGTTTAAAAAAAATCAAAACGTATAGTTTCATTGACAGATAATATTCCCCGAGTTTCGTGATTTTAGCTTAATATACAGGGAAAATAAAGAAGAAAAACCAATTTTTTTGTTCAATAAATGCTATTTAACCTGAGCTTGCAACACATTTATTTATTTTTCTCGTAAATGCTCGAATTTTCGAAAAAACTTATAGAGATAAAAAAGTTGGTAAATAAATTGGGCTTTTTAGTCATATTTTTTTAAAACAAAAATTATCATCTAATAAAAAGTTATAAGAAAAAATGTCTTAAGGGTTGACCCTACCGTACCGTAAACTTATTCAAAAATTATAGTAGGCGCTAAATTCCTCTATTGACAATTGACACACTAAAAGAATTGACGTACATGACAGTTGACATCTCAAAAAAAAAACGAAACGACATTAACATTGTATATACTGACATTGACATAATAACATCTTTCAAGAAGGAAACGCCAATAACAAAATAATTGTGGAATAACAAACGAATAATAACATAAATAAACAAAATATTTTCGTCACCTCGCCAACTTTTCCAAACTTTTCATTCGTCCATTATACCGAAAAATTGGCCCGATTTTTCGACAATAAACACGTGTACTCGTTTTTTTTTTTCGTAGACGTAACCCATTTAAAAACGCGCACAAGGCGGCCGTGGAAATAACAAAAAATACAGGTAGATATATTTCCAGTCCTGAGAATCCTGCGAATCCTGCGGCTCTATTTCGCGTATCTACGCAATAAATGCCCTATCGTAGGCGGCGGAGATTTCCTCGAAACGTTTCGTTAATTAGAATCCATTTCGTCGGGGAAAAGAGAAGAAAAAAAACGTGTATTAACGCGGGGAAATTCAATTTTACCTGGGTGTCACATTGTTCCGGGGAAAGACCCGTGACTTTTACACATGTTTATTCACGAACGGCCGCCGCGCGTTCGTTATTTAAGATTTTCTATTTTTCTCGTTATAGAACCGGTATCGTAGGCTTAGACAGGACCGGTTATTTGAAGAAAACCTGTCGAATTTGACACAATCTATTGGTAATTACATCAATTACATCAATTGGTAATTACAGCTACGGTGTCGTAAAACTAGCCACAACCAGTTCATGAAAAATAAAATCAACACGACCTGCCACTTGTCAAATTTTTTGACACATTCTAATTACAGCTACGGCATCGTAAAATTAGACAGAAATGGTTATTAAAAAATAATCTGCCAAAGTTGACACAATCTAATTACATCTACGGTATCGTAAAACTAGACAGAAATAGTTATTAAAAAATAATCTGCCAAATTTGACACAATCTAATTGGTAATTACAGCTACGGTATCGTAAAACTAGCCACAACCAATTCCTGAAAAATAAAATTAACACGACCTGCCACTTGTCAAATTTCTTGACACATTCTAATTACAGCTACGGCATCGTAAAATTAGACAGAAATGGTTGTTAAAAAATAATCTGTCAAATTTGACACAATCTCATAACATCTACGGTATCGTAAAATTAGACAGAAATGGTTATTAAAAAATAATCTGTCAAATTTGACACAATCTAATTACAGCTACGGTATCGTAAAACTAGCCAGAATCAATTCATGAAAAATAAATCAACACGACCTGTCACTTGTCAAATTTGACACATTCTAATTACAGCTACGGTATCGTAAAACTAGCCAGAATTTAACCAATTCAAGAAAAATAAATCAAATTGACCTGCCATTTGTCAAATTTGACACATTATAATTACAGCTACGGTATCGTAAAACTAGCCAGAATTTAACCAATTCAAGAAAAATAAAACAAAACGACCTGCCAGTTGTCAAATTTGACATAATCTAATTACAGTTACGGTATCGTAAAACTAGCCAGAATCAATTCATGAAAAATAAATCAACACGACCTGTCACTTGTCAAATTTGACATTTTTTTTGACATTTTTTTTTTCCATTTCAGTGTGTCCTCGATGTGATGACGAAACCCAATTGAAACTCCATGGTTATTCGCTTATTGTTCGGAAAAGCGGCACGCGCTCAAGAAAAACGACAAAGCGATATTGTAAACATATAATAATGACGATAAATCGAGCGTGCCGCGGATGCGTTATATAAGCGGTATATATATTATACAGGGTGTCCCAAAGTTCCAATGAAAAGCAGCCCATTTAATGGTTACGAAATGATTCTGGAGCGTTCTAAATGATTATGGAGCCTTCTAAATGGTTATAGACAATGATGTTAAAATTACTTTATAATATGTAATTAATTACAATTACAATTACTTTTGGCAATTTGTAATTAATTGCAATTACAATTACAAAATTTACGAATGTAATTACAATTACAATTACACTCACAATTACTTTGCTTTGGTGTCAGTTTTAAATAATTATTTAGGGATTTGCAATCGGAAATAAACTTCCAAGTATTGAAAATATTAAATAAGTACTTTTGTGTCCAATGTAATTGAAATGTAATTGTAAAATGTTATTGTAATTGAAACGAAAGAAGTAATTGAATTACAAATGAATTACAATTGAGGAGCTTGTAATTAATTACCGCCTCAATTACAATTAAAGTAATTCAATTACTTTTTCAATTACTTGTAATTAATTCTGGTTTTAGATAGTTAACTGGTTTTAGAGTAACTGGTTTTAGATAGTTATGAAATGATTCTGGAGCGTTCTAAATGGTTCTAGACAGTTCTAAATCATTCTATCTATTATTCCATTCTATTATTTTATTATTCTTCTTATGTTCTAATATAATATGTAGTATAGTCTGATAGTAGTATGTATATAATTATGTCCTATCTATGTTTCTTAAAATTCTTATTTAATATCTGTTTTTTTCTGTTTTTTTTTTCATCGAGCATAAAGTGTATATTTCGAAGGTTTTTAGTGCATAAATTTTGCTATTTTTAGTGCATAGGTATTTAACAAACTCTAAATATCAGTATAAAGGGTGTCTCATAAGTTGATACTTCTTTTTAACTGCATATAGATCTTTTAATTTTAACATTTTTAACATTTTAACAACAATTTAACATTTTTTTCACGTAAATTTTTTTAATATTCTAAAAAAAAAATTCTTTAAATTTCGAATATTTTCCAATACGTACCTGTCATTACCAATACAGGTGTTAAAAAAATAATAAATAATTAATGACAAAAAATTAATTTTTCGATTGTTGAATTAAAAATGGCTCATCTTTATACAAATAATGAATTGGTGGACATTCTGATTATTTATGGAGAGTATTTCCAAAGCGTTTCCCATCAAAATGGCGACAATTTTGAGCAAATTTCCTTTAATTTTTTAATGAACAGAACCGTATTAACAAACTTTTTAATAATTAAAAATTGAAAAAAAAAACATGCTCCCTTATTTTCCAGAATATTAAAAAAATTCACTTGAAAAAGTCGCTTAGAATTAACTTAGTAAAAAAAAGTATCAACTTCAGTATCATCTTTTAAATTCCCAGTAACCAAATTTTATTAGGACACCCTGTATTTGATTCTACATATACCTATTATTATTATATTATTAACGCTATATCCTATATCTATATTTGAACGTTTCGTGCCGCTCGTGTGTGAGCGAATATATGTACCTATATGCAAATATATATATAAATTTATTTATTCGCAATAATAATTCGATATTAATTTGTTATTTATTGACATATAAAATTTGACACACGTGTGATTAATGCTGTTCGATTTTTATTCTGTATAATATTATAATTCCTTCTTTGTGGTCGTTATTTCGCATTTTAAGTATTATTAATTTCTAGCTAGTTTAGAATAAATAACATACATAAATAATAATATATGGATTGTGGCACTAATAATTATTAGTTATAATTATAATTAATTATATTAATTTATTAATTATAATTAATAAATTACTGTATTTGTAAAGAGATAAGATATGTTAATGAAAAGTAAATAGTGATAGTAAACAAATCACTAATCTGTTACTTTTTAATATTAATTTACATCAGTTTATGCAAAAGAAATTTCAATGCACGTCACTATAATTTTATAATATCGTCATTTTTATTTAGCTCTAGAACTGTCTAGAACCATTTAGAACCTTTTTGGACCATTTAAAACGTTCCGGAATCATTTAGAACAGTCTAGAGCCATTTAGAACGCTCCAGAATCAATTAGAACTGTTTAGAACGTTCTACAATCATTTAGAACTGTCTAGAACCATTTAGAACGGTCCAGAATCAATTAGAACGCTCCAGAATCATTTCATAACTATCTAAAATCAGTTACTCTAACACCAGTTAACTATCTAAAACCAGAATAAAAACCAGAATACCAGAATAAAACCAGAGAATGTGCCCAACATCTCAAAATAAATTTAATACAAAAAATAGATTAAGTTAATTAAGATTAATACCAACATAATTTAATTTAATTACTAATAATTTAATTAACGGTTTGTTGCAGATTCCTCGAACTTCTTATTACCAATTTGGAATCTTCCACCAGGAATTATCCAGAACTGGAGATCCAGATGGAGAACTCTTTAAATCCCCCGGTATAGCAGGCTTCAAAAAAATCTCTTGTTACTCCGCTTTAGGAATATTTTAATATTTTGTCAATATTTTGTATTTAACCGCCGTTAGTTTATTGTATAAGAAAATAAAAATATCGTTGAAATAATTAAGTGTTTTGTTATTCATTTGTAATGCCTTTTTTATATAAAATTAGTTCGTATATTCAATCATTGCTAATACAATTCTGGTATCTTACAATTAGAGGTATTTAAGAGATAAATTGGTTGCCTACCTATCAGTGTTAGTAAATCGATGTTTGATCAATAAATGTAATTCTGGTTGCCTACCTATTAGTGTACATAAATCGATTTTCTATCGATAAATGTAATTCTGGTTGTCTAACTATTGTATTAGTAAAGCGCGAGTAATAAGTATCAGGAGTAAACCTCTTCATACATTCTGCTCTCCTAATACGAAATTTCAAATTCGCAAATTTTTAACGTGAAATTTTCGAACGATCGACAAAATTATTCTTCCGATTTTTACGAATTGCGGTGAAAAAGTTTTGCGTTTTTTTTTCAATAAACTCGACAAAACTTTTCTTATCATTTCTATTATAAAGCATTAATAATAATGCCCGAAATTTTAATTTTTTTTGAAAATCTGTTTTAAAAAACGACGAAACATTTAGAATCTTTATTAATGCAACAGGATTCATCCAGGACTTTTCCTAGAAGTACCTCTCTCGATATAATAAATATCTCCCGATACTGGACTTCCTAGCATATTCTCCTTGCCTAATATCCGAAATTAATCAATGGAGATCTACGAAAACTTGTGCTCAAATCTCGAAATAAAACGTGAATTTGAAATTTCGTATTAGGAGAGCAGAATGTGCGAAGAGGTTAACTTGTGACGCTTATTAATCGCGCTTCTGTTCGATTACAAATACATACAAAGGCAACCATTTAATCGAATTTCTGTAATTCTGGTTGCCTATCTATTGTATTAGTAAAGCGCGAGTAATAAGTATCAGGAGTAAACCTCTTCACACATTCTGCTCTCCTAATACGAAATTTCAAATTCGCGATTTATCGAGACATTTTCATACGTTTGACACAAACTACTCGAACTCCTAATATTTGTTTCTCCCGATTTTTCTGCTGTAATAGCTCCAGATTTTTACAAATTGCGTTGAAAAAGTTTTGCGTTTTTTTAATAAACTAAGAACGAAAAAAAAACTAAAAATACTAAATTCAGGATTAAGGATGTCATAAAAAACTTTTAATATTCTACTTTCTTATCATTTTTGCAATAAAGAATTATTAATAACGCCCAAAATGATAAATTTCATTTGAAAATGTGTTTTCAAGAACGACAAACATTTAGAACATTTATTTTAATGCATCAGGATTCATCCTGGACATTCCTTAGAAGTACCTACCTCTTTCGATATAATAAATATCTTCCTCGCATATTATCCTTGCATAATAACCAAAATGTATCAACTGAATAGATAAGAAAAAATTACAAAACTTGTGCGGTTTCGATTAGACGAAATACAAACCTCACGATAAATCGCGAATTTAAGAATTCGTATTAGGAGAGCAGAATGTGTGAAGAGGTTTACTCCTAATACTTATTACTCGCGCTTTACTAATACAATAGATAGGCAACCAGAATTACAGAAATTTGATTAAATGGTTGCCTTTGTATGTATTTGTAATCGAACTGGAGCGCGATTAATAAGCGTCACAAGTTAACCTCCTCGCACATTCTGCTCTCCTAATACGAAATTTCAAATTCGCGATTTATTTCGAGATTTGAGCACAAGTTTTCGTCAATCTCCATTGATAAATTTTGGTTAATAGGCAAGGAGAATATGCTAAGAAGTCCAGTATCGGGAGATATTTATTATATCGAGAGAGGTACTTCTAGGAAAAGTCCTGGATGAATCCTGATGCATTAATAAAGATTCTAAATGATTCGTCGTTCATGAAAACACATTTATAAAGATAATTATAATTCTTTATTGCAAAAATAATAAGGAAGTAGAATATTAAAAGTTTTTTTATGACATCCTTAATCCTGAATTAAGAATTCTTATTTTTTTTTCGTTCTTAGTTTATTAACAAAATCACAAAACTTTTTCAATGCTATTTGTAAAAATCTGGAGCTATTACAGCAGAAAAATCGGGAGAAACAAATATTAGAAGTTCGAGTAGTTTGTGTCAAAACGTATGAAAATCTCACGATAAATCGCGAATTTAAGAATTCGTATTAGGAGAGCAGAATGTGTGAAGAGGTTTACTCCTGATACTTATTACTCGCGCTTTACTAATACAATAGATAGGCAACCAGTATTACAGAAATTCGATTAAATGGTTGCCTTTGTAAATATTTGTAATCAAACAGAAGCGCGATTAATAAGCGTCACAAGTTAACCTCCTCGCACATTCTGCTCTCCTAATACGAAATTTAAAATTCACGTTTTATTTCGAGATTTGAGCACAAGTTTTCGTCAATCTCCATTGATAAATTTCGGATATTAGGCAAGGAGAATTTGCAAGGAAGTCCAGTATCAGGAGATATTTATTATATCGAGAGAGGTAATTCTAGGGAAAGTCCTGGATGAATTAATGCATTGGACGCATTGGATGCATTAATAAAGATTCTAAATGTTTCGTCGTTTTTCAAAACACATTTTCAAAGAAAAATTAAAATTTCGGGCATTATTATTAATGTTTTATAATAGAAATGATAAGAAAAGTTTTGTAGAGTTTAATGACAAAAAAACGCAAAACTTTTTCACCGCAATTCGTAAAAATCGGAAGAAAAATTTTGTCGATCGTTCGAAAATTTCACGTTAAAAATTTGCGAATTTGAAATTTCGTATTAGGAGAGCAGAATGTGTGAAGAGGTTTACTCCTGATACTTATTACTCGCGCTTTACTAATACAATAGTTAGACAACCAGAATTACATTTATCGACCGAAAAATCGATTTATGAACACTAATAGGTAGGCAACCAGTATTTAGATAATTATTAAAAACTTGTAAATACTCAACCTTTATCAAATTTTTCAAAAATCTTCGAAATGAAACGCCTTTTTGTTCGTATACTTTATAGATTTTATTAACAAAAAACTATATTGGAGGATCCCAATTAGGGGAATAAAGGGATGAAATTCCAAATAAATCGTACACATTATTACCAAAACAATATATTAACTTTTAATAGAAAATACATTCACAATCGCGACACCTCGTACAAATAGGCACCGAGCAGCTTCGCCTGAAAATAGATAAAAATCCATCAATCACTACGCTTGAGCAAATATTATACAGGGTGTCCAAATGAAAAGTAGCCCGTTTAATCAGCTTTAATAACTTTCAAATATGCTGTTTTGATATTAAATGGGCTACTTGTCATTGAGACACACCCTGTAGAATGTGAATCATAATTACATAAGAAACAAATTCATTTTTATAGGATACTTAAAAATAACAACGCTCTCGAATGGAGTTTGAAATTAAAACAACTAAATTCCCTAACTATAAAACCTGTTAAACCTACTCTGATACCCTTCGATTCTAGCCCCTATGCAGGATGTCCCACGACGAGTTAAAACCGTCTGTATATTGGTTACTATGTAAAGGGTGTTTTAATTCCTAAATGTACACATGATAAATTAATAAATATTTCCATATTTTGCTACAGATAACCTTGTTTTATTGAAGCTTATAATCTTGTGTTCTTATTGAAACACCCTTTAGTTTTGATGATATTAAAAATTTTACATAAAATTTACATTTCTGCCTAATTCTCAATTAAATAGGTTTTATCAAGTAGGCAATGTAAATTCTACTTGATTAATTGATTATTAATTTTGGTACTTGTACGATATTACATGACTAACCATGTAAAACTGAGTTATTTACAAAATAAGTCAGAAAAGTAAGTTTTATGTAACATTTTTAATATCTTCAAACCTATTAAGTTTAGGTAAAGAGAAGGAAAAATGAACTTCTCTTATTTTTTACCGCTGATTACATTAAAATAGAAAAAATGGGTGTTTACATTAAAAAAAAGCGAAGAAATGTGATATTTTTGAAGTTCATCTTAACGCATGTTTTGTACACACCCTATATAAAATAAACAGTTTTTTAACACAAATTTAAATACCTTTGCCCTTTCTAGTAGCCACCCTACAGAAACCGTTTCCATATCTTTAAGGGGATCTCCGAAAAAAAAAAATAATTTATAAGGGTCTGCATCGGTCAAATTTTTCAAACAAAAATTAATAACTCAAAAATTATACAAGTTTCAAAAAAAGTGTTTTAGACAAAAGTACCATAAAATTTGGCGTAGATTTACAAAAATATATATACATATATTATTAACAAATATTATTTAAATCGGACAAGTAGTTTTTTATACACCTTGCTCCATTTCCGATTGCAACATGTACATTTCTATGAGTGGAACAAAGAAAGATTATTAAAATGACAGTTGTCAGAGTGAAAAGTTGCAATGACACAAATGTCATTTTTTCCTTTTCCTTTATAAGTGTCTAATGGAAGTTGTCTTTATCGCACACCTATAGCCTAATATAACCTATATTGCAATCAAAAATGGAGCAACCTGTATATATTTTTTTGAATATAATTTTGGTAGATATTCATCGGCAGGATTCGAGCACCTACAGACTATATAACCTATGTTGCGATCAAAAATTGAGCAACCTATATACAGATAACTTTTAACAACTCGTCGTGGGACACCCTGTATAGTAGAGTATCTACACCACTTACACCGTTAATGTAATTCCTAACGTCGAGCTTCTCGTTCTGCGAATGGGCCCCGTCATCGCCGGCCCCCACCGGTAACAGGATGATATTTTTCCCAGTCACCTGTTGAAACGTCAACGTCACCGGTATCGAACCGCCCTCTCTGCACAAATCCGGTTCCACTTTGTACACGTATTTGGTGGCTTTGGAAGCGGCCCCGTAATGGGGATGGGACGGATCCTCCGTCCAGGGGGCGCCGCCGTCGGTCATGTATACCTAACAACAATAAAAAAAAAACAAGAGTCATTTTCCCGTTATTTTGATTTGTTTTAAAAGAAAAACTAGTAGGCTATGGTATTCGCCGCGGAAGTGACGTCATCTACTGTAATCAATCAGGGTGTGCTACCGACCAATGAGAGAGAGAGAGAGAGAGAGAGCACTCATCGAGCCGCTAGCCTACTGGGGTGAAATGTTCTCGGTGTGAATCGTTTAGAATAATTCAGAATCGTTTGGAACTGTCTAGAATCATTTAGAACGCTCCAGAATCGTTTAGAATTGTCTAGAAACATTTAGAATGCTCCAGAATCATTTAGAACGTTCCAGAATCACTTAGGACGCTTCAAAATAATTAAGAGTGATCCAGAAATCATTTTATAACCGTATAATAACATTTAAAACGATCCAGAATCATTTTTACAAGTGTATAAACCCATTTAGAACGCTCAAGAATCATTTAAAACGTTCCAAAACTACTTAGAACCTTCTATAATCATTAAGAACGCTCAAGAAATCATTTTATAACTGTCTAAACTCTTTTAGAAAGCTCCAGAACGATTTAGAATGCTCCAGAATCATTTTAGAACTGTCTAAAACCATTTAGAACGCTCCACAATGATTTAGAACGTTCCAGAATCAATTTGGAACGCTCTAGAATAGTTTAGAACGCTCCAGAAATAATTTTATAATCGTATAAAACCATTTACAACGCTCCAAAATCATTTTAAGAACTGTCTAAACCCATTTAGATCGTTCCAGAATCAGTTAGAACCCTCTATAATCAATAAGAACGCCCCAGAAATTATTTTATAACTGTCTAAAACCATTTACAACGCTCCAAAATCATTTAGAACCCTCCAAAATCATTTTAAAACTGTCTAAAACCATTTAGAACGCCCCAAAATCATTTTAAAACTGTCTAAAAACTTTTTAGAACGCTCCAGAATCATTTAAAACGGTCCATAATTATTTTAAAACCGTCTAAAACCCATTTAGAACCCTCCACAACCATTCACAACGCTCCGAAACCACCGCAAACCATCCAGAACCATCCAAAACACCCTAAGCAAAAACTCAAAAAAAAAACCACTACAGGGACAAAACCTTCCACCTTTACCTCGCCTACCCTCGAACCATTCAAACTTATACCTCATATAATACTTCTTACACACTTCAAATCATTCAAACTTATACCTCATATAACACTTCTTACACACTTCAATCATTCAAACTTATACCTCATATAACACTTCTTATACACTTCAAATCATTCAAACTTATACCTCACATAACACTTCTTACACACTCCAATCATTCAAACTTATACCTCATATAACACTTCTTATACACTTCAAATCATTCAAACTTATACCTCATATAACACTTCTTATACACTCCAATCATTCAAACTTATACCTCATATAACACTTCTTACACACTTCAAATCATCCAAACCCCGCATACCTTCATCTTGTTAGGACTGCCCCGTTTCTTCCAAATCCTCTCCACGTAGTCCACCACGTACCGTTCGATACGCTTCGGCTCCTGATTCGGCACGATCCTGATCGAAAACTTCCCGATCACCTTGCGCGGTATCACCGTCTTCGCGCCGGCGCCGCTGAAAGCGCCCTCTATGCCGTGCAAAGACAGGCTGGGAAAGCGCCATCGGTGCATCAGGATCTCGTCCTTTCGTTCGTCGTGCAACAATTTGGCGCAACCGATGTCGCTGCGGTACTCGTCGACGTCGAAATCGATGTTTTCATACAGGGCCGTCTCGGCCGGATTCAAGGGGGCCACTTCGTTGTAGAGGCCTTCGACGAGGATCTTGCCGTTTTGATCGACCAGCTGGTTCATGAGGTAGACGAGATCGGTCATCGCCTCGGAGCTGGAATTCGATAAAAAAAAAAGGATTCGATGAGATATTCAAACTTTAGGAGATGGGACGTTTAGAACGCTCCAAAATCATTTTAAAACCGTCTAAAAACCATTTAGAACGCTCGAAAACTATTTAAAACTCTCCAGAATCAAGTAGAACTCTCTAGAACTATTTAGAACGCTCTAGAATCAATTAGAACTGTCTAGTACCATTTAGAATGCTCCAGAATTAATTAGAACCATTTAGAATGCTCTATAATCAATTAGAACTGTCTAGAACGTTTTACAATAATTTAGAACTGTCTACAACCATTAAGAACGCTCTAGAATCAATTAGAGCTGTCTAGTGCTATTTAGAATGTTCCAGAATTAATTAGAACCATTTAGAACGCTCCAGAACAATTTGGAATGCTCTAAAACCATTTAGAACCTTCCAAAATCATTTTAAAACTGTCTAAAAACCATTTAGAACGCTCCAAAACTATTTAAAACTCTCCAGAATCAAGTAGAACTCTCTAGAACTATTTAGAACGCTCTAGAATCAATTAGAACTGTCTAGTACCATTTAGAATGCTCCAGAATTAATTAGAACCATTTAGAACGCTCCAGAACCATTTGGAATGCTCTAAAACCGTTTAGAACCCTCCAAAATCATTTTAAAACCGTCTAAAAAACCATTTAGAATACCCCGGAACCATTTGGACGGCTCTAAAACCATTTAGAACCCTCCAAAACCATTTATAAACTGTCTAAAAACCATTTAGAACGCTCCATAATTATTTTAAAACTGTCTAAAAACCATTTAGAACGCTCTAAACCTATTTAAAACTCTCCAGAATCAAGTAGAACTCTCTAGAATCAATTAGAACTGTCTAGTACCATTTAGAATGCTCCAGAATTAATTAGGACCATTTCGAATGCTCTAGAATCAATTAGAACTGTTTAGAACGTTCTAGAATCATTTAGAACTGTCTAGAACCATTAAGAACGCTCTAGAATCAATTAGAGCTGTCTAGTACTATTTAGAATGCTCCAGAACCATTTGGAATGCTCTAAAACCATTTAGAACCCTCCAAAATCATTTTAAAACCGTGTAAAAACCATTTAGAACGCTCCAAAACCATTTAAAACTCTCCAGAATCAAGTAGAACTCTCTAGAACTATTTAGAACGCTCTAGACTCAATTAGAACTGTCTAGTACCATTTAAAATGCTCCAGAATAAATTAGGACCATTTAGAATGCTCTAGAATCAATTAGAACTGTTTAGAACGTTCTACAATAATTTAGATTTGTCTAGAACCATTAAGAACGCTCTAGAATCAATTAGAGCTCTCTAGTACTATTTAGAATGCTCCAGAATTAATTAGAACCATTTAGAACGCTCCAGAACAATTTGGCATGCTCTAAAACCATTTAGAACCCTCCAAAATCATTTTAAAACCGTCAAAACGGCGCCCAGTCGCCATCTTGAAATTTTCAACTGTCAATTTTACTCCAAAATATACTAATCATGCATTAGTTTCATTATCCCAAATTTCAATTTTCTAAGTTGATCCGTTCAAAAAATAAAAAAGGGCTGGGAACATTAAAGAAATGCCCTATATATACTCTACGAGCCGTATGAAAACCTACACGGTGCCCCCGAAGACGCCGCTGTGCAGGTCCTTCTGGGCGCATTCGACCTCCAGGAAGAAATAACAGACCCCTCTTAAGCCGTAGGTGATGCAAGGCTTGCTGGTGCCCAGCCAATAGTTGTCCGATATGCAAACGTAATCGACATCGCCCAGGAATTTCTCCTTTTCGGCGACCAAAAGGGGCTCCAGCCCGTCGCTGCCGCTCTCCTCCATCCCTTCGAAGATGAATTTAACGTTGACCGGCACCTCCTGACCGGTAGCCTGCAAACCAACACTCACATAACCTCACAAATCGATGGGTTTTAGTTAGTACCTTGAAGGCCTCGATGGCGTGTATCCAGCACAGTACGGGGCCCTTATCGTCAGAGGATCCTCTACCGAAGAGTTTACCATTCTTTTCGGTGAGTACGAAGGGTTCGGAGTTCCAGCCGTCCTCTAACTGAGCTGGCTGTACGTCCAAGTGGCCGTAAACGGCTACCGTTTTCTTCTGGGGGTTTCGGCCGAGGGAGCCGAGGAGGACGGGTGGTAGGGGGATGGTGGAGCCGTCGGGGAGGGTCTGGTGGCCGATGTCGCGGAGCTCGACGGTGGCGCCGAGTTTTTGGAGGCGATGGGCGGCCCATTCGAGCATTCGTTTGCACTCGGGGCGCTTCTCCGGCTGGCCGGATACCGATTGGATGGCAACGGCTTGTCGGAGGGTTTCGATGTATTCGGATTTGTGAAGATCGATGTGGCTGGAATGAGAGTTTACAGACATTTTACAAGAGATTTTACTGGTGTTTTTTATATGGATTTTACTTACTTAAACAGCAATGCTAGGGGCTCCGGTAGGGCCATGATGGTGGTTTCGGATGAATCGCTCGTTTGTATACGTGATTTAGTGGAATACTACGCGTAAAACATCGAATGACTTTTGATATTTAAGTAGATAAATTCGTCCGATTTCGAGACTCCCACTTCAAAATAGATTTATCTAATCTGTTGGAATTTATTGAACTATTATACACACAAATGCAACTGGTTAGCAACAAGGACGCTTAAATAAATAGAAGATAAACTTTTATGTGAATTAATTTGTTTGGATAAAACTTTTCCGAGTTCCTACGAAAGCAAAATTAAATTAAATTAAATATCTGTCATTAGTGTCATTGTTGAGGATGAATTCAAATGGTGGTCTTTTATTGCATAAGACAATGGTTATTAGTAATGTAATAGAAAATTGAGGTTATGTTGATTTGAGTTGCTCAAATTCCGTAGCTGCTTTTTGATAAACAAAAGGGTGAAATGTGTGTAATTATTTATTCAATTATAGAACTAGTGCGATAAAATAAACAAACAAAATAGCTGTGTGTAAAATTGAGTTCGAGTTTTTGACAGGTGAAGGTTATTTTTAAAATTTTAATGACCTCTTACCTTGGTTCCCGTCCTATTCGGTTCCACAGCCACTGTTGTTCCGCCTAATTACAATTCATTAATAATCACCATATTGCATGTTATTAAATACCAGTAATTGAACCCAATTATTATGAATTAAGTAATTCATAATGACGTCATTATGGTGGTCTCGCCTATTTCAATTTTTCAGCTACCTTTAGCTTATTTCGTATTGACACATCATCGGAATGATTTCGAGTGATTATCCTAAGTGAAACCGATTCGTTTTAATTAGAAAAACATGTTTATTATATTACGAGCAAATTAAACATTGACTTTGGTAACGAAATATGTACTTAAATAATAAAACGGAAATTTATTGCAAAGTGCCACCTTACCCTATTTATAGCACAGCAGAAAATGCGATAAAATTAATACAAAAAAAACATTATATTCCGCTGTATTTTACATAGATTTCTAATATACAAATTAAACTTATAAGTGAAACTAGAATAATTAATTTACTGAACGAATTCTTAAAAAAGAACCGTCCTGTAAGTTATACACATAAGTGCAACATTGTTTGCAATATACGATCAATTCTATGAGTTAAACAAAGAAAGATTATTAAAATAACAGTGGTTAGAGTGAGAAAGTTGCAATATCACTCTTTCCTTTTCCTTTAAATGAGTCTAATGGAAGTTGTCTTTGTTGCACCCACACACATTCTATATTGCAAACAATTTTGCATCTACCTGTATATTGCACGAATTTATATTAAAAAAACATTGATAAATGCATTGAACAAATCGATAAATAACCTTTATATATATAAATTAGTATGTATATTAAATTTATCCTTAATATCTACACATTCAAATTGTATTTATCAAAAAATAGATGCGCGATAAATATCAACTTTGTTTTAGGTACATGCGTAAATAAAAATTTTTATCTTCAAAAATACTTCCCCATTTAAAATGGGGCGGGTTTCATAAATTTGTGCTTTCCATTTGTTTATTTTGACGAATTCAATACTGTAACGTTTCTTGCATTTGTAGCCGAGAAAATGAGCTCCAATATTACCTGGAAAAATATCCATATTAATTTATAAAGAAACAAATCGAGCACTAAACGGAGCTTATTCACCGTTCTTTTTGACATTTGATTTGACAGTTTTACATTGGTTGTTATGGAGTAACTAAGGAGATTCTTTCAATTGACAGTTTTACATTGGTTGTTATGGAGTAACTAAGGAGATTCTTTCAATTGACAGTTTTACATTGGTTGTTATGGAGTAACTAAGGAGATTCTTTCAATTGACAGTTTTACATTGGTTGTTATGGAGTAACTAAGGCTTTGTTTAAATTGACAGTTTTACATTGGTTGTTATGGAGTAACTAAGGAGATTCTTTCAATTGACAGTTTTACATTGGTTGTTATGGAGTAACTAAGGAGATTCTTCCAATTTGACAGATTTACATTGTTGTTATGAAGTAACTAAGGACGCATTGTTCAAATTGACAGTTTTACATTGGTTGTTATGGAGTAACTAAGGAGATTCTTTAAATTTGACAGATTTACATTGTTGTTATGAAGTAACTAAGGACGCATTGTTTAAATTGACAGTTTTACATTGGTTGTTATGGAGTAACTAAGGAGATTCTTTAAATTTAACAGTTTTACATTTGTTGTTATGGAGTAACTAAGGAGATTCTTCCAATTTGACAGATTTACATTGTTGTTATGAAGTAACTAAGGACGCATTATTTAAATTGACAGTTGTACATTGGTTGTTATGGAGTAAATAAGGAGATTCTTTCAAATTGACAGTTTTACATTGGTTGTTATGGAGTTTTCATTAACGAAATTCATTAAACGATTAATCAGCGTTAAAAAGCATCACAGAATACATCAGTATTCACAAAAAAAAATAAAAAAATATAGAAAATTACCTGAGTTTTCCGTCCGCAGCCGCCTTGGCGTTCGCCTTATCGATCCTGATCCGTTTGGTTTGCTTTTGGTGCTGCTCCTGAAAATCCCTCTCCGTTATGTCCAGTCTATTTACATTATAAATAAGATTTTCTTCGGCCAGTATGCTCTCCGGCGGATTCCGTATCCTGGCCAGCGTCTCGCACAGTCCCGGGCACATTTTCCTGCTCTTCGGCGTCCCCAAACATCCTTAAAACAATCGAAATTATCAGAAAAAAAGAGAAACGATTAAAACTCAATCAAAGTAGTTACCTATGAGAATGACCAAGGACGTTTTGAAGAGGACCTTCACCCCTTCGCAGAGGAATATGTCCCAAATTCTGAGCAATGTGTCCCACGGTAAGGTTCTCGTAAAGGCGCACAGAAACCATTCGGTGCAGTAAAACATCGGCTCTGCGTTCACTTTCTTCAAATGCCTGTACACGGGCGGGCAAACTTTTTTTAACAAACCTATTCAAAAAGAAGAAAAAAACGACATTTAGTACATTATTCGGACTAAAATAATACAAGTTTAATGTTCCAAACGGTTCTAGAACAGTTCCAAAAGGGCCTGAACAGTGCTCGACTTGGCCAAACGGTTCGAAACAGTTCCAGACGGTTCGAAACAGTTCCAGACGGTTCTAGAACAGTTCTAAAATGGTCTGAATAGTGCTCGACCTGTCCAAACGGTTCGAAACAGTTCCAGGCGGTTCTGGACAGTTCTAGACGATTCCGAACAGCTCCAGACGGTTCTAGAACCTTTCTAAAAGGGTCTGAACAGTGCTCGACGAATATGACGAATATAGTGCTCGAATATGTACCCGGAAAAGTTCTGAATAGTTGTAAGATCGTTTTGAACTATTAAAAATTGTCTAGGACCGTTCTAATATGTTTTGGAATAGTTCCGAACAGTTCTAAGATGTTCCGGAACAGTTTTGAACAGTTCTAAGATCGTTTTGAACTATTAGAAATTGTCTAGGACCGTTCTAATATGTTCTGGAACAGTTCCGAACAGTTCTAAGATCATTTTAAACTATTAGAAATTGTCTGGGACCGTTCTAATATGTTGCGGAACAGTTCCGAACGGTTCTAAGATCGTTTTGAACTATTAGAAATTGTCTAGGACCGTTCCAATATGATCTGGAGCATTTCTGAACGGTTCTAAGATCGTTTTGAACTATTCCATTTTGTCCAAGTCAGTTTTATTAGGGTTTCTGAACGATCCCGAACTGTTCTAATATGTTCTGGAACAGTTTTACAGGGTTCTAAGATCATTTTGAACTATTTGAAATTATCCCAGTCAGTTCTATTAGAGTTCCGAACGATCCCGAACTGTTCTAATATGTTCTGGAACAGTTTTACAGGGTTCCGCACGATACTCGACTATTTTAACACGCTTTAGAACAGTTCAAAACGGTTCCAACATCGTTCTGAACTATTCCAAAATAGCCCTAGTCAGTTCCAATAGGATTCTGTACGATTCTCGACTATTTTAACATGTTCTAGAACAGTTCTAAAACCGTTCTGAACTATTTGAAATTGTCCCAGTCAGTTCTATTAGAGTTTCCGAACGATCCCGAACTGTTTTAATATGTTTTGGAACAGTTTTAAACGGTTCTAAGATCGTCTTGAACTATTCCAACTTGTCCTAGTCAATCCAAATAGGGTTCTGTACGAATCAGAACTGTTCATATGTTCTAGAGCAGTTCTAAACGGTTCTTAGTCCTTTCTGAACTATTTGAAAGTGTCCTAGTCAGTTTTAAAAGATTTCTGAACAATTTTAGACAGTTCTAATCTGTTCTAAACAGTTCCAAGTTGACTGAACTATTTGAAACTGGCCTAGTGAGTTCTAAAAGACTTCTTAACCATTTTAGACAGTTCTAATATGTTCTAAAACAGTTCCAAGATGACTCAGAACTATTTGAAATTGCCCTAGTCAGTCCTAAAAGGCTTCTGAACAATTTTAGACAGTTCTAATATGTTCTAAAACAGTTCCAAGATGACTCTGAACTATTTGAAATTGCCCTAGTCAGTCCTAAAAGGCTTCTGAACAATTTTAGACAGTTCTAATATGTTCTAAAACAGTTCCAAGATGACTCTGAACTATTTGAAATTGCCCTAGTCAGTCCTAAAAGGCTTCTGAACAACTTTAGACAGTTCTAATATGTTCTAAAACAGTTCCAAGATGACTCTGAACTATTTGAAATTGTCGTAGTCAGTTCTAAAAGGCTTCTGAACAATTTTAGACAGTTCTAATATGTTCTAAAACAGTTTGAAACAGTTCCAAGAGGCTTCTGAACAATTTTAGACAGTTCTAATATGTTCTAAAACAGTTCTAAACAGTTCCAAGATGACTCTTAGAACAGTTCAAAACGGTTCCAACATCGTTCTGAACTATTCCAAAATTAAGCCCTGTGCAATAAAATACCTTGCAAGATGAGTCCGTCCCTTTGGACCACGTCCATGCTGGGCGAATAGTAATCCTCGAGGTACTTGTTCGATATGGACACCAAACACCAGAAGGCCTGGGGGGCGGGCATGTGCATCAGCAGGAAGGCGGCGACCGGCGCCTGCGCCTGACAGTAACCGATGTCGGGAAAATGGACGGTGTACGCTTTCAACACGTTGAACAATTCTTGTTGCCTGGAAAAAATTATTCGGAAAATTTCCGAATCAAATTTCGAAATGTTGTCGGTACGAAACATAGACCTATTAAGTATGGGCGCGGTTTAGACAAAGAGGTAGTGTAGTCGATGAATGAGAGAGATGCAGCTAGTTTGGGCATATGACAATGAGAGATTGGACAATGCATTAGCCAATAGTAAGAAAGCAAAAGACCACGTGGGTTACGTTTTCAGATATGCAAGGTAGCTGGGGTAGAGGAGGGTAGATTATGGTAGAATAGGGTTGAGGATTTATTATTTTTTTACCGAGCAAAATTCATTTTTCAGCTGAGCCTAAATTCCCACGCATTTGCAAATACAGTTCTTATTTTGTATTGTTATTTGGAACCTCCTAGCTATTAACCAGTACAGATTTCGCAATTTAAGACCTAGCTGCTTTCTCTTGTAAAAAATATGTTTCTTCCAGGTCATTCTTCTGTCCAAGTAGATACCAAGATAAAAACAATATTTAAATATTTAGCGTATAAATAATTTAACAGATTAATCGCCTTTTTCCACACACCCTGTATATATTTTATATATTTTTTGGTCCCGCCTACTTTTAGCCCAAATTAGCTCCATCTCTCACGGACCTCTCTCTCTATCATTGGGAACGCTGAATAACCTCAAAATAACGATACTCAAAGTCCATACTTAATAGGTCTATGGTACGAAACGAATATCAAATATCACGTCGCCTGCGATTTGCTACGTTAAAAGTATAGGCGGTGTTGCCGGATTTTTATAAAAGTTTATAAAATCTGAGAATTTTCTACGAATTGTTAAATGGCGAATTGACGAGAATAAATTGAAAATTAGGGGTACCTGGCTCATTATTATAATTAATCATCAAATTCCTTTACCATCTGAAATATATACTGCTCCGCAAAAGTTAAGGAGGTTCACAAATATCGAGATTAATTTAAAAGTTGCAGGGTTTTTGATCGCCAAATTGGTATGAGTTGTAGAGGTGGGGGCAAAAAATCTACTCAAATGTGAAAGGAAAAATTTAATTTCGCATATTTGAAAATTTGGTGATCAAAAAGTTTGTAACTTTTAAAATAATCGCAAATTTAGCGAACTTCCTTAACTTTTGTGGAGCAGTTTATTTAAGAGTGCGAGTTCAATTTGACAGTTTTACATTGTTGTTATGGAGTTACTAAGGACGCATTGTTTAAATTGACAGTTTTACATTGGTTGTTATGGAGTAACTAAGAAGAGAAGAAGAAATTGAAAATTAAAAGTACCGATCGGATGACAAAACGGCAACAATGCAACTTGACAGTCAGTTCCTACCAACCTACTATAAAAAAATAATAATTTTATATACAAACGTTGAATTTTGACAATATATACTTTTTTGGACGATTTAATTCGGCTTTTTAACATTTTCTATCATCCCTTGTTAATATTACAATAAATTCCGCAGGTATTAAGCTTAATCTATTTTGTGTTATTTATTTTTAAAAGTTGGTAACAATGCTCGACAAGTATGAAGTGCATTGCTAATTGTTTTGCACCAAACTGTACAGTCATATCTGTATACGAATTGAACAAAGAATGATTGTTACAAATGACAAGTGGTTAAAGTGGGAAAGAATGTTTTAGTCAAAAAATAGAGTATAAAATACCATAAAATACTCTATCTTTTTCCTTTATACAAGGCTATAATAGAAGTTGTCTTTATCGCACACAAGGTAACCTTTTCTTAAAGGATCGTTTCAGTTATATCATCATTTTTCTTAAAGAATGTACGGATAATAAATAAAGGACATACGAGGGTAGGGTGAAAAGTTCTCGACCTGAATCATTTAGAACGCTCCATAACGATTTAGAACAGTCCAAAACCATTTAGAACGCTCCATAATCATTTAGAACTGTCCAAAACCATTTAGAACGCTCCAGAACGATTTAGAACAGTCTAAAACCAATTAGAACGCTCCAAAATCATTTAGAACTGTCTAAAATCATTCAGAGCGCTATAAAACCATTTAGAACAGTCTAAAATCGTTTAGAAGGCTTCAGAACGATTTAGAACTTTCCAAAACCATTTAGAACGCTTCTGAACCATTTAGAACGCTCCAGAACGATTTAGAACAGTCCAAAACCATTTAGAACGCTCCAGAATCATCTAGAACTGTCCAAAACCATTCAGAACGCTTCTGAACCATTTAGAACGCTCCAGAACGATTTAGAACAGTCCAAAACCAATTAGAACGCTCCAGAATCATCTAGAACTGTCCAAAACCATTCAGAACGCTTCTGAACCATTTACAACACTCCAGAATCATTTAGAACTGTCTAAAATCATTCAGAGCGCTACAAAACCATTTAGAACAGTCTAAAATCGTTTAGAACGCTTCAGAACCATTTAGAACATTCTAAAACCATATAGAACGCTAGGGAATCGTCTAGAACTGTCCAAAAATCATTTAGAACGCCCCATACTCATTTAGAACTGTCTCGAACTAAATATTTCGACTAAATAACAACAAAAATGTAAATTTTCAATAAAAAAATCGCTAATTTGCCAGGCCCACCGAACTCTTTCCACCTCACCCCTCGTACAACCGAACCAATTTACCCCGGTTTATCCTCCGAACTGAACATCTCGTGCAACGGAAATTGCCTGTGAATGTCCTTCTTGATGTCCTCGATGCATTTGGGATCCCCCTCGACCTTCAAGCAATCCTCGTACTTGTGCGGGTGCTTCTCCAGCGACACTTTACCACCGCACAAGTACAACCAGGCCCTCGGGCGAACCGATTGCGGAATACCTGCCAAAAAAAAGGCCAATTAATAATTAATCAATTGATAATACACTAATTTATCGAGCACTCGGCGTGCGTATTTAAGATAATTGCAATGAGAAAATTGCCGTTTATTTGCAATGCTATTTAAATGGTAAAAATGTAATTCTAGTAAGACTCGAGTTTCCTCAAACGGATGTGTGAATAATTTTAGTAGGATGAAGAATATTTATTACAGAACGATGTCTATTAGTTTATATTTATCCACAGGCTGTATTAAATTGAAACAAAACTAATTATTTTAGCAAATGATGATAGATTCCTGTAATTTTTTTTTAATAAATTTGACTAGCGACAGAGGTGCTAGTTGTTTCCGTTTTTCATATATTTTTGGATAATGTGCACTTTTTTAAGGGCATGTAATATGAAATAAGGTATTTCCAGTGCACCGAAATACTTTTAGAGCAATTTAATGAGTATTTTTTAAACCCTACTTTTATCTTTTCAATTTGCAGGGATTAGAATTGAATTTAAACAATTCTGAAAAGGATATCCTTATTCCACTTTCTTGTACGTTTGATTTCATGTTCTAGAATAGTTCTAAAACCGTTCTGAACTATTTAAAATTGTCCTAGTAAGTTCTATTAAAGTTCAGAACGATCCCAAACGGTTCTAATATGTTCTGGAACAGTTTAAAACGGTTCTAAGATCGTTTTGAACTATTTCAACTTGTCCTAGTCAGTTCTAATAGTGTTCTGTACGATTCTAAAAAATTGCCATTTATTTGCAATGCTATTTAAATGGTAAAAATGTAATTCTAGTAAGACTCGAGTTTCCTCAAATGGATGTGTGAATAATTTTAGTAGGATGAAGAATATTTATTACAGAACGATGTCTATTAGTTTATATTTATCCACAGGCTGTATTAAATTGAAACAAAACTAATTATTTTAGCAAATGATGATGGATTCCTGTAATTTTTTTTAAATAAATTTGACTAGCGACAGCGGTGCTAGTTGTTTCCGTTTTTCATATATTTTTGGATAATTTGCACTTTTTTAAGGGCATGTAATATGAAATAAGGTATTTCCAGTGCACCGAAATACTTTTAGAACACTTTATTGACTATTTTTTAAACCCTACTTTTATCTTTTCAATTTGCAGTGATTAAAATTGAATTTAAACAATTCTGAAAAGGATATCTTATTCCACTTTCTTGTACGTTTGATTTCATGTTCTAGAATAGTTCTCAAACCGTTCTGAACTATTTAAAATTGTCCTAGTAAGTTCTATTAAAGTTCAGAACGATCCCAAACGGTTCTAATATGTTCTGGAACAGTTTAAAACGGTTCTAAGATCGTTTTGAACTATTTCAACTTGTCCTAGTCAGTTCTAATAGTGTTCTGTACGATTCTAAAAAAATTGCCATTTATTTGCAATGCTATTTAAATGGTAAAAATGTAATTCTAGTAAGACTCGAGTTTCCTCAAATGGATGTGTGAATAATTTTAGTAGGATGAAGAATATTTATTACAGAACGATGTATATCAGTTTATATTTATCCACAGGCTGTATTAAATTGAAACAAAACTAATTAAAGTATTTTAGCAAATGATGATAGATTCCTGTATTTTTTTTTTAATAAATTTGACTAGCGACAGCGGTGCTAGTTGTTTCCGTTTTTCATATATTTTTGGATAATTTGCACTTTTTTAAGGGCATGTAATATGAAATAAGGTATTTCCAGTGCACCGAAATACTTTTAGAGCACTTTAATGACTATTTTTTAAACCCTACTTTTATCTTTTCAATTTGCAGGGATTAAAATTGAATTTAAACAATTCTGAAAAGGATATCTTATTCCACTTTCTTGTACGTTTGATTTCATGTTCTAGAATAGTTCTAAAACCGTTCTGAACTATTTAAAATTGTCCTAGTAAGTTCTATTAAAGTTCAGAACGATCCCAAACGGTTCTAATATGTTCTGGAACAGTTTAAAACGGTTCTAAGATCGTTTTGAACTATTTCAACTTGTCCTAGTCAGTTCTAATAGTGTTCTGTACGATTCTAAAAAATTGCCATTTATTTGCAATGCTATTTAAATGGTAAAAATGTAATTCTAGTAAAACTCGAGTTTCCTCAAACGGATGTGTGAATAATTTTAGTAGGATGAAGAATATTTATTACAGAACGATGTCTACTAGTTTATATTTATCCACAGGCTGTATTAAATTGAAACAAAACTAATTAAAGTATTTTAGCAAATGATGATAGATTCCTGTATTTTTTTTTTAATAAATTTGTTTAACGACAGAGGTGCTAGTTGTTTCCGTTTTTCATATATTTTTGGATAATTTGCACTTTTTTAAGGGCATGTAATATGAAATAAGGTATTTCCAGTGCATCGAAATACTTTTAGAGCAATTTAATGACTATTTTTTAAACCCTACTTTTATCTTTTCAATTTGCAGGGATTAGAATTGAATTTAAACAATTCTGAAAAGGATATCTTATTCCACTTTCTTGTACGTTTGATTTCATGTTCTAGAATAGTTCTAAAACCGTTCTGAACTATTTAAAATTGTCCTAGTAAGTTCTATTAAAGTTCAGAACGATCCCAAACGGTTCTAATATGTTGTGGAACAGTTTAAAACGGTTCTAAGATCGTTTTGAACTATTTCAACTTGTCCTAGTCAGTTCTAATAGTGTTCTGTACGATTCTAAAAAATTGCCATTTATTTGCAATGCTATTTAAATGGTAAAAATGTAATTCTAGTAAAACTCGAGTTTCCTCAAATGGATGTGTGAATAATTTTAGTAGGATGAAGAATATTTATTACAGAACGATGTCTACTAGTTTATATTTATCCACAGGCTGTATTAAATTGAAACAAAACTAATTAAAGTATTTTAGCAAATGATGATAGATTCCTGTAATTTTTTTTTTAATAAATTTGACTAGCGACAGCGGTGCTAGTTGTTTCCGTTTTTCATATATTTTTGGATAATTTGCACTTTTTTAAGGGCATGTAATATGAAATAAGGTATTTCCAGTGCACCGAAATACTTTTAGAACAATTTTTTAAACCCTACTTATCTTTTCAATTTGCAGGGATTAAAATTGAATTTAAACAATTCTGAATAGGATATCTTATTCCACTTTCTTGTACGTTTGATTTCATGTCAAGTGTAATCAACCACGGAACATCTACTAGCGCGAATTAAACCAATCTAATCCCATCTACAGTGTAAAAATTTATACTTTTAGAGCAATTTAATGAGTATTTTTTAAACCCTACTTTTATCTTTTCAATTTGCAGTGATTAAAATTGAATTTAAACAATTCTGAAAAAGGATATCCTTATTCCACTTTCCTGTACGTTTGATTTCATGTCAAGTGTATAATCAACCACGGAACATCTACTAGCGCGAATTAAACCAACCCAATCCCATCTACAGTGTAAAAATTTAACCAAAAACAGTCCAATATCACCCAGCTAATCGCGAATTCGAGGCGCTCCTTTTAACCCGTACCTTTCCTGCAGCGCTCCTTCACCTTCCTGTAATTGGTGTCCATGTAGAAGTTCCACTGGGAGAGCATCTTCAGCCACTTGCGCTCCCTGCGCAGCACCGTCTCGGCGGGCGGGCCCTGGCGCGGCTCCGGCGAATACTGGGCGCCCCCGAGGAACCCGTGCCGATCGGGCACCGTCGAGATGACGCTGCCGTCGAGCAGCGTCGAGGCCTCCGACGCCAGCGACGCCGTCTCGGCCGCCGTCGAATTGCCCGACGTCATGGCGTCGGCCGTTGTTAGCGTCGCGACGACATCTGCGAACAAATTGTGTTAACGTTACGATGGTTCGTGTTTTGTTTCGTACCGAGGCATACCTGGTGTGTATGTCATTGTATGTGTTTTTGTACGAGTTCGAATTAAAACAAAATATTTCTCGTGGTTTTCACTCCACGGGAATTACGCAACTGTTATTCGGTTAGGAATAAAACGAACGGTTCGTAAACATAACGAGATAAGAATTCTACCATAGAAAGAGTTGTAACGACAGATAATTAGGTATTCGGGGAGTCGGGTAATTTGCAATTCAATATGAATCACCTTGTAAATTACACCACGTAAATCCGTCTGGTATATTAATAATGTTAATTAAACTATTCAATATGCGATGGTTTAATTTAATTAGTTTGTTCGATTCGGGAACTTAATTAAACGACGTTCGATACAACGAAACGCCTACAATATTGTTTACAGTAAATATAAATAGCAAGATGTTTACTTGTTACTTACCAGGAAGACTATTTTCACGGGGACATTAACGTTTTGTCTAACAATGGCGTGCGCTGATTTATCTTATTATTCACGAGTTATTGCTGGTTTTCGAATATTTAACATTCAAATCTGGCGTAGCTCGTATTATTTTGATTAAAAATTTGTTTTCACCTAAACATAACATGTAAAATTGCTAGAGGCGAGGCTCGTACAGTGACAACTCGATGACGTACGACACCTGTCAAATTCTTCTTTTTTCTAAAATATTTAAAATTGTTTGCACTAAATTTATTTCACAACTAATAGTTTATTAAACAGTAATTCGTACAGAAATTATTTAAACATGCCCTGTATAATCGTCATTTACCGGAGAGATAAAAATATTGACAAGTGTTCTCTTTTTTATTCTTCTTTTTATTAATTTAAACGATAACGAACAGTAAAATTTTAATATATGAACGAAAAAAGAAGAAAATGTCACTAATGTCAATTCTGTCAATTTCAGATACTCGGATAACGGAATTAACTTTTAAAAACCGCTAAAAATGTAATTTAAAAATGATTTTAACAACAATTTTAACAACAATACTTCACCTAATTACATTATGTGGAACTCTACACGCCAACCACGATTTAGAAGAAATAGGAAGAGGCCAATACCAAGTAAGCCAACCACTTGTTTACCTTCTTGCGAATTACGCAGAATGTACATCACATACAACTCGCCCAATTAGTAACTAAACAAACCAATTTCAGCTACTAAAAGAAAAATCGAACCTCCCGCTGTACGGCCCCTGCTGGACGCAGGGCGTCCAACTCCTCGAGCAGGGATGCCACTCGCTCGGCGAGTCCCTGCAAAGCGAGCTCGCCCTGCACTTCACCAACTGCTTCCTGCGAATGTCCGGCCACGAAACCTACGACTGCGAGCTGGACAAGAAGCCCAACCTGCGCGCCATTTGCATCAGCAACATGTCCGATCGAGCGTTCAACGTCTACGCCGAGTTCTACACGCACGTACAGAACATCTGCAGCTTCCTGCAGGGCCACGTCTGGCACCGGCTGATCACCGAGAACACCGTACACGTGGGTCTGAAGCTGAAGGAGACCGCGAGGAACCAGGAGGGGCTGTTGAAGGCGCAGCAGGAGAGCCTCGAGCTGCAGGAGAAGGTGCTGCGGCACGGTAGGATATTGGAGAACGTGCTGGACGATTTGTTCGTGTCTTTTCAAACTCATAAAGATGTATTGGGTAGTTTGTTCGAGACTGTATCGGGGCTGCAAGAGTGGATTATCGGGGAGATGTCTTGGTTCGATTCGATCGTGTTTTACATCGTTTCGATCGTACTGGTGTTCGTTTTAACGTCTTCGCAACGTACCAGCACAGCGAGGTTACTTATGTTTGTTTTGTTAATCATCAATTTTATTTTAGAACGGATTATTTGTTCCGTTTGTGTGTATTTTATCGAGGGAGATTCGTTTAAAATGCATTCGAGTGTTAATAAGTACATTTGGTTGGTACGATATACGTTTGTGGTTTTAACGTTGGTGATATTGGTTTATTATTTGGTTACTTGGTGTGACCCGTTCGGAAGGCAAGTGGAATTGTTGCGGGTTATTCAAGAGCAGAATCGTGCGATTTTGGATATTTTATCGAATAGGGAAAACCGCTCGAATGTCGATAGAAAAAGTGTAAATAATGATGGATTTTTAAAGGGTAAGGTGCAAAATGAGTGTAATGGGAGTAATTCGATGAAAGAAAACGATAGAGTTAGTTCGGAAAGTGAGAAAAACGGCAGTTTTAATGGGAAATGCAGAAGGATTTATAATCTTCGTAGTGGTAGTACTAGTAGATGTTCTAGCATAGAACCGTAAGTTACGGTTTCCGTAAAAGCGAATGTATATTTTTATTTTTGTAACTTTTTGTGAATAAATATTTACTAAGTAATAGTTTATGTTTAAATTATTCGTGTAAAATATTTACTTACTTTTAAATTAAATGGAGGCAGTTGGGTTTACAGTTTGTACAGGAGGACATTTAGGAAACTATTTAACTGTTACCTGAAAGAAATAAATGTAGCAAATAGGTGCAATTATGGTACTATATTTAATGAGTACTCACATTATTATTAACAAATAATTTAAATAAATAAAAAATGGTTTGTAAGTTTTGAAATTTGACACAACATTGACATTGACAATTTTGACATTTCGAAAAAATCGATTCTGAATTATCGATATTTCATTCACTCAATTAGCGTTATTTACCTATTGATTTTATTAACGAGGCAAATTTTTGAAATTTTATCGATAGATCTATTTCCTTTAATCACCACACTCGTTTTCTAATCTAATTATTAATTATTTAAAAATAATACACATCAATGTCAGCTGTCACGTCAACTGTCACCGCCTGCTTTTACTCGATCGGTAATCCGCCATTTTCAACAACAGTTTGCTTGTGGACGAGGAGTGTTTTTTTAACAACAAAAACCAAGTGAATCGTTCGTTTCAGCTCGAATTCCACCCGAAACACCCAACTAAACCGACTAATTTGCAGCCCTAGCCGCACGAACCGTCAAAATATCCAGAAACAGGTACGCCCGCAACCTTCCATTCGGCACGCCATCGAACTGAATCCAGCCGACTTTTCCAGGCGCGACATGTCTCGTTACCGCGAGTGGGACCTCTCCTGCAAGGTGTACGTCGGCAACTTGGGCTCGTCGGCCAGCAAGCACGAAATCGAGAGCGCCTTCGGCAAGTACGGCTCCCTCCGGAACGTCTGGGTGGCCAGGAACCCACCGGGCTTCGCCTTCGTCGAATTCGAGGATCCCCGGGACGCCGAGGACGCCGTACGGGGCTTGGACGGAACGTAAGTACATGGGCTTTTTCGCCAATTCGCAATGATAAAATTGTTGGCCTTTTACTTAGTAGTCGTAGGTTGAATGTCGGTGCAGGTTTCGATACACCTTCGGAATGCCAATTATTGGCCTTTTACTTAGTACACGCAGGAGTTATACTGTTCAATACATTGCAGGTTTCGATACACATTCGGAACACTAATGATTGGCCTTTTACTTAGAAGGAGATATTTTGTTGAGTAACTTACAGGTTTCGATACCTTCGGAACTCTAATTATTGGCCTTTTACTTATTAGGAGTCATTCTGTTGAGTAACTTACAGGTTTAGATACCTTGGGAATTCTAATTATTGGCCTTTTACTTAGTGGGAGTCATTTTGTAGAATAACTTACAGGTTTCGATACCTTCGGAACACCAATTATTGGCCTTTTACTTATTAGGAGTCATTCTGTTGAGTAACTTACAGGTTTCGATACCTTGGGAATTCTAATTATGAGCCTTTTACTTAGTGGGAGTGATTTTGTAGAATAACTTACAGGTTTCGATACGCCTTCAGAACACTAATTATTGGTCTTTTACTTAGTAGGAGTCATTCTGTTGAGTAACTTACAGGTTTTGATACACCTTCAGAATACTAATTATTGGCCTTTTACTTAGTATGAGTCATTCTGTTGAGTAACCTAGGGGTTTCGATACCTTCAGAATATAAAATAGTGGCCTTTTACTTACTAGGAGTCATTCTGTTGAATAATTTAAAGGTTTCGATTACTTCAGAATGCCAACTATTGGCCTTTCGATAACTTTGAAATACCAATTACTGGCCTTTTACTTAGTAGTAGTTCAATACCCTACTAGTTTACGATACTCTCGGAATGCGAATAAATGGCCTTTTACTCGGTACTCGCAAGTCTCTCGAAGGTATCGGGTATTCAGATAATTGGCTGAATAGCCCTAACTGGGTATAATACCGTAGTTGTTGTTGAATTGTTGTTAATATAGTGATTGTTTTGTTGTACAGGCGTTGTTGCGGAACGAGAGTTCGAGTGGAAATGTCGAACGGGCGATCGAGAAGGGGCGGTGGCGGAGGCGGCAGACGAGGACCCTCAAGGTATTCCAGGTAATTTTATACTAAAAGTATCAGTATTGATGAGTTTGTTTGTTTATTATTTTTTTAATTCAAACAAATTAATCGAGCGAAAAATATCCGTTGTTTTAAAATGGGAGATATTTTTCGTGCTGGACTTGTATGCTTTTCCGGTTCGTTTTCGAGCGAATTTGATGCATTTAAAATAGTCGAACGGAAAGGTATCGAGAAAGAAGAAAAAAGAAGAAGAAAACGAGAGATGAATACAGGGTGTTAATTAATTGAGAGTGCCGATACTTTAGGATGTGAATATTTGGATGATTTTAAGAAGAAAAGTTTATATCAATGTATGTCCTAAACCTTTTAGTTTTCGAGCTACGGGGTGAATAAATTTTAGATTTAGAAAAAAAATAACTTTTCTAATAATTTTCTTATTACGACCGATATTTTTATGAAATTGAAAAAATGGTTATGGTTTTTATTTTTTTATGCGAAAATGGTGCGTCGTACGAAAATAAGTCTTCTGACCGAATTTGCTACAAAATAAATGAGGATTTAAAAAATAATTTTAATAAAAAAAAACAGTGGTGTACCATTTTTTTTTTTCAAACATATTCAGTTCAAACCCCGTACGGACGTCACTGGTGAATATTAAAAAAAATCTTATGCCTCAAAAAATGCTCCTTAATAATTAAAAAGTGTATATAAAATTTCTTAAAAATAACTGGAGTAATAAGAAAATTATGATAGAAAAGTTATTGTTTTTTCTAAAATTTTTAGCACCTTTTGTAGCTCGAAAACTAAGAGGTTTAGGACATACATTGATATAAACTTTTCTTCTTAAAATCAATCAAATATTCACATCCTAATGTATCGGCATTCAATTAATTAATACCATATACAGTGTGTCCACGGATGGGGTTGCCTATAGGAGAAAAATTGTTATTATTCATTTTACGACAAAAAGTCATTCTTTATAAAAATTTTTGCTTCTTTTAAAAATGAGAATAACACTGAAAAATCTTAGATTGGATCTACAGGGTGTTGCCAAATTGAGAAAACATGAAAATACCTCAAGGGAGGAATACCATTATTTTTTATTTTACACATTTTTTTTATAAAAGAAAGTTGTTTATAATCTAAAATAAAGCCTGAATACAAATTTGTAAACTTAAATTCAAATTTTTTGTGTCCCTAGATAAAGTTGACCAGATAAGAAAAATGGTTATTATTAATTTTACAACGAAAAGCCATTCTTTATAAAAAAATTAACTTGTCGAGAAAATGAGATTCACATATCAAAACATTAGATAAGATGTATAGGGTGTTAGTAAATTAAGAAGCAGGAAAAAATTTCAAGAAAGAACGAAATAATTTATATTATCTTACACATTTGAAAATTTGAATTCAGGCTTTATTTTAGATTATAAACAACTTTCTTTTATAAAAAAATTATGTAAAATAAAAAATAATGGTATTCTTCCCTTGAGGTATTTTCATGTTTTCTCAATTTGGCAACACCCTGTAGATCCAATCTAAGATTTTTCAGTGTTATTCTCATTTTTAAAAGAAGCAAAAATTTTTATAAACAACGACTTTTTATCGTAAAATGAATAATAACAATTTTTCTCCTATAGGCAACCCCCATCCGTGGACACACTGTATATCCTAATAAAACTCTCAGTTTTTGAGCTACAGGGTGTTACAATTTTAGAAAAAAAATCATCTATCGTTTTGTTCCTCTTTTTTTCTTCGATTCGTTATTTGAGTAAAAAAAAAAACACCGTTGAGCAATCAACGATATTGGTAATAAATAAATTATATAACGAACATGTAGGAAATATGTAGGTGTATATAAAACGTGGTTTGGCGTGTCTCATTGCAGGCTCACAGCCCCACAGCCTTTGAACCTTCTCTTGTCACCCAACTGGGCCCCCCCGTCGGTCCGTCAAAAACATCTTCTTCACCTCACATCGAATCAAACGCGCACAAACCGAACCCCTTTGGACCGCCTGGCAAAATCACCAAAAATCAATCTTCCAAACGAAACAATAATCTACCAAAAAAACAAACCGCTAATTAATTAGATAAGAGTTTTCTCTCGTCGTTGTCGTCGTTCATTGCAAAATAAATCTTCGATACCGACCGCCCGACCGATCGATCGACAGCAGGCCTGCCAACCGGTTAACCGATGGTTGTAGACGGATTATAGCCGAATTTGTGGTAAAAAGAAAAAAATTGTTTTAGAAAAAAGGGGGAAACGTTCTTCTTTCCTCGTAGAACGATCGAATTGGAAATTCGATGTTCGTAAAATAGACAAGGAATTGTATCGAGTAGGTTTCGGTAATTATTATACAGTGTGTCTAGTTAAGTTCGCACCATATGGAAAACTTTTTTATTACTAATTTTACGAGAAAAAGTTATTCTTAATAAAAAGTTCTGCACGTTTTAAAACCTAAAATACGACCATCAGATAACAATTTTTTTTTAATCCGTATACGAGGTTTGTCAAAAAAATGTGTTTTGTACTCGAGAGTGAAGTACCTTTATTTTTGAAAATATCGGAAATTGTTATTAAGAAAAGTTGATCAGGACTAAAAATTACATTTTTATTGTTTTTATGTAGTTGATAATTATTGTAAAATAAATTATTTCGTTATCATTTATTTCAATGCATAATGCAACATAGAAGTTAAGAGATGTAAATGTAATCAAATTTTTAACGAATAAAGAGATAACAGATAACAATTTCCAATATTTTCAAAAATAGATTTACTTTACTTTTGAGCAAAATTCATATTTTCTGACAAACCTCGTATACGACTAAAAAAAAGATATCTGATGATTGTATTTTAGGTTTTAAAACATGCAGAACATTTTTATGAAGAATAACTTTTTTTCGTAAAATTAATAATAAAAAAGTTTTCCATATGGTGCGAACTTAAGTAGACACACTGTATATTATTATTATAATAATAATTATATTACATCGAATTGACGTTGGAAAGACGGATTAGAGGAGCGTTTTTTCTGTTTAGGAAAAAAACGAGGGGGCGAAAATAGAAGGAAATTTTTGGGAGGAGTATCGAAATAATTGTTAAGAAATAAAAAATTTCCTTGTAGTTTTAACCTCCTTTATGTTTATACTTGTTTGCGTTGTGTCCGAACAAACATACAGGCGTAGGCAGGCCAAATTTCCGCAGATTCGTTTTTGGGAAAATGCTCGAATAAAAAATAATAAGAATAAGAAAATATTAATAAGAATATATATTAATAATAATAAGAAAATCGACCTCTCGCACGCGATAGAACGGTTCCGAACCGTTTCGAAATCGTCCTGGTCTGTTCTGAAAGGGTTCCGAACGATTCCGGATTGGCGTAACGTGTTCTGGAACAGTTCAAAACGATCTTAGGACCGTTTGGAAATCGTGTAAGATTGTGGACTCTTTTAAGATCGTTTTGGACTATTAGAAATTGTCCTAGTTAGTTCTATTAGGGTTCTGAACGATCCCGAACTGTTCTAATATGTTCTGGAACCGTTTTGTAGGGTTCTAAGGTAATTTTGAACTTTTGGAAATTATCCTAGTCAGTTCTATTAGGGTTTTGAACGATCCCGAACTGTTCTAACATGTTTTGGAACAGTTTTAAACGGTTCTAAGATCGTTTTGAACTATTCCAACTTGTCCTAGTCAATCCAAATAGGGTTCTGTACGAATCAGAACTGTTCATATGTTCTAGAGCAGTTCTAAACGGTTCTAAGTCCGTTCTTAACTATTTGAAACTGTCCTAGTCAGTTTTAAAAGATTTCTGAACACTTTTAGACAGTTCTAATATGTTCTAAAACAGTTCTAAACAGTTCCAAGATGACTCTGAACTATTTGAAATTGTCCTAGTCAGTTCTAAAAGGCTTCTGAACAATTTTAGACAGTTCTAATATGTTCTAAAACAGTTCTAAACAGTTCCAAGATGACTCTGAACTATTTGAAATTGTCCTAGTCAGTTCTAAAAGGCTTCTGAACAATTTTAGACAGTTCTAATATGTTCTAAAACAGTTCTAAACAGTTCCAAGTTGACTCTGAACTATTTGAAATTGTCCTAGTCAGTTCTAAAAGGCTTCTGAACAATTTTAGACAGTTGTAATATGTTCTAGAATAGTTCTAAACGGTTCAAGATTGACGTGAAGTATTTCGAACTGTCCTAGTTCAGTTTTAAGATAGATTCTAAATGAATTTGGACTATTCTGGATGATTCTGAGACCGTTCTGAACTACTTGAAATTGTCCTAGTCAGTTCTAAAAGAGTTCTGAACAGTTTTAGACACTTCTAATATGTTCTAAAACAGTTCTAAACAGTTCCAAGATGACTTTGTACTATACAAATTGTCCTAGTCAGTTCTAAAAGACTTCTGAATAATTTTAAACAGTTCTAATATGTTCTGGAAAAGTTCTAAACAGTTCTAAGATGACTAAAATTGACCTAGTTACTTCTAAAAGGGTTCTGAACAGTTCTAATACGTTCAAGAACAGTTGCAAACGGTTCAAGATAGACCTGAAGCAATTCAAACTATCCTAATTCAGTTCTAAGATGGATTCTAAACGAATTTGGACTGTTCCGGATGATTCCAAGAACGTTCTGAACTACTTGAAATTGTCCTAGTTAGTTTTAAATGGGTTCAGAACGATATCAGACAGTTCTGGAACAGTTCTAAGATCGCTTTAAACAACGATCTAACTTTGAAAGGAAAAAAAAAATCAAGCGTGCGAGAGGCCTTTTACTCATCGAGTAAGCCAGCCACCGAGCAGCGGCAAATTTGGTCCTCTTCGAGTCTTCGAAAACGAAAACGAGAACAAAAAAAAAATAATGTCTACTCAACCACCGGTACGTTTCGTTTGTACGTCACCAATACAAAAAAAAAATCTTCCCCGATGAGAACCGTCAGCCTGATATCAAAACAACTCCAACTTCAACTCCAACTTCAACTTCAACTTCAACTCCAAATCAACTCAACTCAACTCAACTCAACTCAACTCAACCGGCCCCAAAACGAACAAACTCGTCGCGCACATCTCGGGTGAAAAAACTCTAGCGACAAGGGAGATAATTAACCGCCAATCCTCGACGTTTTCGCGTAAGGACAATATCAAATTTTATAAATATAAAACTCAAAAAAAAAAAATATAGTTATTAATGATAGTTGTTAAATAGAAGTATCGAGTTTTGTATGTACGGGATGTCCCCGGATTGGGCGCTAGAAAGTGGCCTCGATATGTTCGGAGTAACGGCCAATCGAGTAAGCTGTATACTCGAAATGTTTAGGCCACTTTTTTTTTTATCGAATGCGGGTATCTCGATTCGGTTTTTGTCGTAGCGAGATCAGTTTCGGGACATCCTGTATATCATTGAATGTACATTTTTTTTTTAATATCGAAAAAGTTTTTCATTGTGATTGATTAATTTAGAGTAATCGATTCGAAAGTTCCGAATATGTTCCAATTTCACGGTAAAGTCGTTGAATGACGGTTCTTAAATTGTTTTGAACTATTTCGAACTGTCTCAGTCAGTCTAAACGGTGCTAAGATCGTTTTGAACTATTTCAAATTGTCCTAGTCAGTTCTGAAAGGGTTGTGAACGATCCCGGACTGTTTTGATATGTTCTGAAACAGTTCTAAACTGTTCCAGATCGTTCTGAACTATTACAAATTGCCCTAATTATTTTTTGATAGGGCTCTGAACGATCCAGGATTCTTCTAATTTGTTCTGGAACCGTTCTGAACGGTTCTAAGATATTTGTGAATAATTTGAAATTGCTTTAGTCATTTCTAAAATGGTCCGAACCATACAAGACTGTTCTGCAACAGTTCTAAATTATTTTCAGATCGATCAGAACGTTTCCGGACGTTTCTAATATGTTCTAAAACAGTTCAAGACAGTTCTGAACTATTTCACATTGTCCTAATAATTTCTAAAACTGTTTTGAACAATCCAGGACTGTTCTGCAACAATTCTAAATGATTCTCAGATCGTTCAGAACGTTTCCGGACAGTTCTAATATGTTCTAAGACAGTTCTGAACTATTTCAAATCGTACTAATAATTTCTGAAACAGTTTTGTACAATCCAGGAGTGTTATACAACAACTCTAAATGAATCTCAGATCGTTCTGAACAATTCCGGACATCTCTAATATGTTCTAAAACAGTTCAAGACAGTTCTGAACTATTTCAAATCGTCCTAATTTTTAAAACAGTTCTGAACAATCCAAAACTGTTCTGCAACAATTCTAAATGATTCTCAGATCGTTCTGAACGATTCCGGACAGTTCTAACATGTTCTAAAACAGCTCAAGGCAGTTCTGAACAGTCCAGGAGTGTTCTACAACAACTCTAAATGAATCTCAGATCGTTCTAAACAATTCCGGACATCTCTAATATGTTCTAAAACAGTTCAAGACAGTTCTGAACTATTTCAAATCGTCCTAATTTTTAAAACAGTTCTGAACAATTCAAAACTGTTCTGCAACAACTTTAAATGAATCCTCTAATATGTTCTAAAACAATTCAAGACTATTTCAAATCGTACTAATAATTTCAGAAACAGTTCTGAACAATCCAGGAGTGTTCTGCAACAGTTCTAAATGATTCTCAGATCGTTCACAACGATCCCGGACAGTCCTAATATGTTTTAGAACAGTGCTAGATGGTTCAAGACAGTTCTGAACAATCCATGATTGTTCTGCAACAGTTCTAAACGGTTCTCAGATCGTTTTGGACGATTCCATAACGCCCCGGAACGATCCGGAACTTTCCTATCGTGTAGCTTTCGTCGAATCGTTTGCGATTGTTCAAAAAAATTGTACTACAATAATAAAAAGAAGTGAAGGAATTTTTCTAATTTCTCGTCTGTTTTCGTAATTTTTTTTTAGATCAAGATCGCCGAGACGTTCGAGAAGTCCGAGATCTCGTTCGAGGAGTCGAGACTCCCGAGGCAGATCCGATTCGAGAGATAGACGATAGGGACGAAATGAAGATGAAAAAAGAAGAAGATAAAGAGAGGAACGTAACGATTAAGGATATTAAGTATTTAAAAACGATAATAAGGATTTTTTAATTAAGCGATGTTTTTATTTTTTTCCGGTTTTGTCCCGTTTTTTTTTTTGTAAAGGTTCTCGTTTCATTGTGAATTTAGGTTTTTATTTTATTGTCTCTTTTTTTTTGTATATCGCAAACTGGAAATTTTAATAAACCATTGAGGAAAAAATTATTTCGTTTTTTTTTTGTATATCGCAAACTGGAAATTTTAATAAACCATTGAGGAAAAAATTATTTCGTTTTTGACCCTCTTTTTTACAGCGGTAATTCTTTGGTACAAAAATAAAACGATTTGTTGTTTAATATTTTTTTTCTTCTTTTATCCTTTCTTCTTGCCTTTCTTGCCTTTCTTTCCTTTCGCACTCGCTTTGGATTTTCTGCTTTTGATGCTCTTCGTCGTTTCGGGTTTACCTCCAGGCGGGATGTCCTTTCTCACCATTGTGCCCCTCCACCAGGCCTGAGGGAACAATTTGTTTGGAACATTTTGTTCAATTTGTTCAGTGTTGTTCAGTTGGTTCAATCGGCGCGTGGGGTTTTTAATTTGGACAAATTTGTTCGGGTCGAATTGTTCGGCATTTTGCTCAGAATAATTGGTTCGAATGGTATTAACATTTTGTTCGATTTAAACAACATTTTTGTTCAATGTGAACAATCCAATATTTTGTTCAATTCGTTTAACAATGCGTTCAATTTGTTCTGAACTAATTCTGTTAATTTTTCCAACATTATTCAAATTGTTCAGAATTGTTTAAATGTTCAATTTGTTAAACATTTCGTTCAGAACAATTTGTCCAAAAAAATAACCTCAACATTGTTCAAATTGTTCGGAATTGTTCAAATGTTTAATTTGTTGAACATTTCGTTCAGAACAATTAGTCCAAAAAATACCTCAACATTGGTCAAATTGTTCAGAATTGTTCATATGTTCAATTTGTTAAACATTTCGTTGAGAACAATTTGTCCAAAAAATACCTCAACATTGGTCGAATTGTTCAGTATAATTGTTCTTAACTAATTGTGTTCAACTAATTTTGAACTAAGTCGACATTGTCCACGGTTCAGTTTCAACATTCAATTCAAACAGTTCAATTTGTTTAGAATAATTGGTTTAGTTAGTTTAACGTTTTGTTTTCTTTGAACAGTTCCTTCAACATTTTGTTCAATTCGTTCAACATGGTGTTCAATTTCGTTTGAACTAAATATTTGACCTTTAAGTTTCATTTTCAACATTTTTCAATATTATGTTCAATTCGTTCATTATTGTGTTCAAAAAAATGCTTTGAACTAATTCGACATTGTTCAATTTGTTCAGAATAATTGGTTCAATTGGCTCAATTAGTCCAACATTGTGTTTAACTTATTCTGAACTAATTATTCGACATTGTTTACTGTTCATTTTCAACATTGTTTAATTTGAACAGTTTGTTCAACATTGTGTTCAATTTGCTTTGAACTAAATATTAACCCTTCTTCAACATTTTTAACAAAATAAATTAAATATGTTCAATTTGTTCAACATTGTGTTCAATTTGTTCTGAACAAATCCGACATTGTTCAATTCGTTCAGAATAATTGGTTCACTTAGTACCATCGTCCTCAATTACTCAAAACTACGTATTCAACATTGTTAATTTTTCAACACTCTCTTGAACAATTTGTCCAAAAAAAAAACCCACCTGAATCCTAGTGATAGCCCAAATCTCCAACTTGATCCGCTCCTCCTTCTCCCTCTTGATCCTCTTGTAGTCCTCCCACCTGTCGATCTCGGCCTGTCGCCTGTCGTACATCTGCGTCGCCTTGTCCAACTCGTCCTGCGTACAGTCCAACTCGCCCTTCATCTTCATCAGCTCGTTCTCCTTGCGCTCCACCTCCGTCTCGTAGGTGTTCATCCAGTAATCGGTGGCCTTGAGCAGGTCCTGCGAACAAAAACCTTCGGATGCATCAACCTTTGGAGTACAATGGAGAAAACGGACCTCTTGGTCCTCCATTATGTAGTCCAAAAACAACTTGTGGCACTTCTGCTCGAGCTCGATCTTCTCCTTGTTCTTTTCGATCACGTCCAACGATCGGTTCTCGGCGATTTTGCACTTGAGCAGGTTCTGGCGCCTCCTGGTCTCCTCGTAGTGGAACAGGAACTTCCTCTCCGTTTTGCCGTACACTGGAAAGATCCAGAAAAGCCTATTGGTGATTCGTGATTCCTCTAGAGGAAGCTCGAGCTCCTGGAGAAACTTTCGAGGTACATTGAACTTCCAGGGAAGCCTACAGATGGTGTACAGAAGAAGCTAGAGCTTCTGAAGAGACGTTCGAAGTACCTGGAGCTTCCAAGAAAGCTTCCAATAAGCCTGCAGATAGTGTACAAAAGAAGCTAGAGCTCCTGGAGAGACTTTTCAGGGACCTTGAACTTCTAGGGAAGTCTATAGATAGTGTACAGACATAGCTAGAGCTCCTAGAGAAACTTTCCAGGCACCTTGAACCTGCAGGGAAGACTACAGATAGTGTACAGAAGAAGCTAGAGCTTCTGGAGAGACTCTCGAGGTACTTGGAGCTTCCAGGGAAGCCTATAGATAGTGTATAGGCAAAGCTAGAGCTCTTGGAGAGACTTTCCAGGTACCTTGAACTTCCAGGGAATACTATAGATAGTGTACAGACGAAGCTAGAGTTCCTGTAGAGACTTTCCAGGTACATTGAACTTCTAGGGAAGTCTATAGATAGTGTACAGAAGAAGCTAGAGCTCCTGGAGAGACTTTCCAGGTACCTTCAACTTCCAAGGATGCCTACAGATATTGTATAGACGAAGATAGAGCTCCTGGAGCTTCTAGGAAAACCTATAGATAGCGCATAGAGGAAGTTTGAGCTCCTGGAGGGGCTTCTGAGGCACCTGGACTTTCCAGGAAGACCTATAGATATCGTGGAGAGGGAAATCAAGATCCTGGAGCGGCTTTCAATGTGTCTGGACCTTCCTGAGGCACCTGGAACATTCCAGAAAAGCGCTGTTCAGAGAACACCCGAGCTTTGAGAGGACTTCCTAAGCTCCGGGACCTTCTCTAACAACTTTAGAAGGTTCTGGTTTATGTCGAATCCAATTGAAGATTGTTCGGAGATTTTTTGTAACCTCCTGCTGTTCATAAACTCCAAAAGGAGCCTCCCAAGATCACAAGGCTTGCTAGAGAAGCATCCAGCATCTTCGTAGGTTCATCTGCAAGAGTCCTTAACGATTTCTCACTTCATCCTTTGTAATCTCCAAGCGAAGCTTCCGAAATACAAACACCTCTAGACTCCCCAGACACCTTTCGACCTCCAGGTATTGCTCTCGAAGCAATCACCAAGCGAATTTCTCCCGATCAAACATTACCAGTAATATCCTCGACCTCGAACCGAATCTGCTGGATATCGTCGTCGATCTCCTCGATCAACTTCAACGAAGCGTTCCGCTCCTCTTCGATTTGACTTTTGAGCGTCTTGATCAATTTGACGTTGTCGTCCTTCTGCTTGTAGAGCTCGTCGACGTCGCGCTTCATCCGTCTCAAGTGCTTGATGGAGTCCTTGAGGATCTTGTAGGTGCCGCTCTGGGCGATCTCGTGCGACGTCTTCTTGCAGACGTTGATCAGATTGGTGATGTCGGTGGCCAGCTTGTCCTGGTTGATGCCGATCGCCGGTATCTTCATGTCTTCGTAGTTCTCCGATTTCGTTATCCTGACGAAGGTGGAGCAGGAGAATCAAGATCGCTGTGTTGGAGAATGGTCTAGGTGTTGGTTTTGGTCTGGGTGTGGTCGTTGTCTTGGTCATGGTCTTGGTGTGGATTATTGTTTTGGTGTTAATCATTGTCTTGGCCTTGGTGTTGATCATTATTTTGGTGTTGGTCACGGTCTTGGTGTTGATCATTGTCTTGGTCTTGGTGTTGTTCATTTTGGTTTTGGTCATGGTCTTGGTGTGAATTATTGTCTTTATCTTGGTGTTGTTCATTGTTTTGGTCTTGGTCATGGTCTTGGTGTGGATTATTGTCTTGGTGTGGATCATTCTCTTGGTGTTGATAATTGTTTTATTAAAAAAAATGTCCAACTTCAAGTATCGATATCTCGAAAACGAAGCGAGATATCAAAAAATGTTATTCTTCATTTTCGCTTTATTTTGGCTTTATTATGCTAAAAAAGTTATCAAATCGCGGTGCAAATCATTGTCTTGGTCATGGTGTGGATCATTGTCTTAGTCTTGGTGTTGATCATTGTTTTATTCCAAAAAAATGTCCAACTTCAAGTATCGATATCTCGAAAACGAAGCGAGATATCAAAAAATTTTATTCTTAATTTTCGCTTTATTTTGGCTTAATTAAGCTAAAAAAGTTGTCAAATCGCGATGCAAATCATTGTCTTGGTCATGGTGTGGATCATTTTCTTAGTCTTGGTGTTGATCATAGTTTTGGTGCAAAAAAATGTCCAACTCAAGTATCGATATCTCGAAAACGAAGCGAGATATCAAAAAAATTTATTCTTAATTTTCGCTTTATTTTGGCTTAATTAAGCTAAAAAAGTTGTCAAATCGCGTTGCAAATCATTGTCTTGGTCATGGTGTGGATCATTGTATTAGTCTTGGTGTTGATCATTGTTTTATTAAAAAAAATGTCCAACTTCAAGTATCGATATCTCGAAAACGAAGCAAGATATCAAAAAATTTGATTCTTCATTTTCGCTTTATTTTGGCTTAATTAAGCTAAAAAAGTCATCAAATCGCGGTACAGATCGTTGTCTTGGTCATAATGTGGACCATTGTCTTAGTCTTGGTGTTGAACATTGTTTTGGTCCAACTTCAAGTATCGATATCTCGAAAACGAAGCGAGATATCAAAAAAATGTATTCTTCATTTTCGCTTTATTTTGGCTTAATTAACCTAAAAAAGTTGTCAATTCCCGGTTTGGATCATTGTCTTGGTCATGGTGTTGATTTATTGGTTGTGGTTGTTGGTTTACCTTTCCTCGATGGTTTGATACTGGACGGTGTCGTTGTCGAATTCCCCGAAATTGAAGGTGTTGACGTGCCTGATGATGGTCAATTGGTTCCAGCATTCGTACAAGATGTTCTCGATGGCGTTTTTCGTGAAGGTTGACATAATGTCCGGGCCGCTGTTCAACGCCAGGAAAAACTCGATCATTTCGTTCGGCATATTTATTATTTTATTAATTGTATTTATTAATTATTTATTATTATTTTTACGTGTCGGGTTAGAGACATTGAGACGTTTCGAATATGACGTACGTCACTTTGAATTGTAGAGGGCGCGTCTAGGAAGTTTAATCATATAGAAGAATTCATCAATTTATTAGAAATATTGATGAATTTATTAGAAATGTTGTCGAATTCAATAGAAGTATTAATCACTTTATTAGAAGTAGATTAATTTATTACAAGTATTGATCAATTTATTAGAAGCATTGATCAATTAGAAGGTTTGATCAATTTATTAAGAGTATAGGCCAATTTGGGATAAGTATTGAACGATTTATTAGATGTATTGTCCAATTCAATAGAAGTATTGTTCAATTTATGTGAAGCAATGGTCAATTTATTACAGGTAATGTTCGGTTTATTAGAAGTATTAATCAATTTATTAGAAGCATTGATCAATTAGAAGTTTTTATGTATTTTCGATAAAATAACATAAGTTTTCGTCATATTTTGAGGTTCTTTACTTGCTCTCTATAAAGTTTTACCACTTATTTCAGAAACACCATGTATAGGAAGCAATGATCAATTTATTAGAAGTATTGATCAATTTATTCAATTTCAATACAAGTATTGATCAATTTATATGAAGCAATGGTCAATTTATTACAGTTAATGTTTCATTTATTAATAGTATTGATCAATTTATTAGGAGTATTGTCTAATTCAATAGAAGTATTGATCAATTTATTAGAAGCATTGATCAATTAGAAGTTTTTTATGGATTTTCGATAAAATAACATTTAAGTTTTCGTCATATTTTGAGGATTCTCTACTTGCACTCAAAGTTTGACCACTTATTTTAGAAACACCCTGTATAGGAAGCAATGATTAATTTATTAGAAGTATTGATATCCATTACAATAGAAGTATTGATCAATTTATTAGAAATATTGATTAATTTATTAGAAGTATTGATCAATATTTTAGTACCTAGAGGAGGAAGTAAAAAGTATCTATCAATAGAGTAGAGAATACATAGAATAGAGTAGAGTAGATTCAGAACAGATTATTATCGGTTTATTACAAGTATTAATTTAGAATTTAGAATTATCGATCGATTTATTACTAGTATTGATTAATTTACACGGCCTATTTCGATCCTTCGAATATACCGAAAATATCATCAACAAATTTTTTCAGATTCCCTAACGTAATTTAGCCATATTTAAATACAACAATATTTTTATTTACAAATATTTATTTACGTAATTTAACGTAAATACGTAAGATTTTATAGTTTGTTTATGTCTTTGTAGATAAATAAATGCGAAATAAACTTCTGAATTTCACCTTGGAAATTTCGTACGACCGCTGCGGTTTCCCGTTTTGGGTTTATTTATATCGCACATCTTCCGCCATATTGTTGGAGAGATTTTATTTTATAATTTTTTTTTTGGTTTTTTCGGTCGAGAAACTGGAATTCCTGCGAAATCATATTTCAGTAATTCATTGACTCTAATGATTAATTTCCCTTTGTAAATATTTCATCGTTTTAATTTGACATTTAAATGACATATTGACAGGAACAGGCTACTATTGGAAATTGTGTTAATAAAGGCATAGAAAATATTATCAATATTTCGAAATGGGAAATCCTGCGAAATCATATTTCAGTAATTCATTGACTTTAATGATTGATTTAATTGATCCCTTTAATTGAAAATATTTTTCTGAGAATTTACGCTTCTTTTTAATAGCATTTCATCGTTTTAATTTGAAGTTTAAATGACATATTGACAGGCACAGGCTACTATTGGAAATTGTGTTAATAAACGTATAGAAAAAAATATTTATTTAATAATTTAATTTAATTAAAAAAAGCTCATTCAAATTTAATGTATTTAGTTTCAACAAAATGCATTATTTTACGAAAAAAATCAATTTAAAATTTTTGACATTTACATCAAACAATCACCAATGACATATCAATGACAGTGACAGGCGGGGCCTACTGTAACTCTGTAACTCAACTAAAACAATTAAACCAAAAATCAATTGAGAAAATTAGCGAATAATTAATACTTGGTATAAAATAATAATTCAGCTAATCGAGCGAAGGTTAAATTTATTCACATATGGCGAGTGGGAATTCCGCGCCGAATTCAACTTCCATTTTTAATTGGGTTTTCTCTCGATCGAGCGCCAAGAATAAATAATCTTTTAAATCCCGACGATCGTCTAATCGAGATCGAGCACTCGCTGGAATCGGTCTGATCGAGATAATTAACAGAAACGAAAAACGATCCGAGTAGGCTCGGTATAGGAAGATATTTTTTATATGTGTGTGTTGAATATGTGCAGAATTTGCTAATTTTTATCAATTAAAAATGTCGCTAAAAGTGTTATTAATTGCAGGTAATTGAACATGTTTTTTTTGTCGTAATTAATTTGTATCAGTGTTTTTATTAATTATGGTTTAATTAATGTACTTGCAGTGATTGGAGTGTCGTTGGCTTGTTGCGCCAGTATTGGCAAAGATGATAGGTGAGTTAATTGCTTTAATTAGTCAATTAAATTGGTATTTATTTAATAACACTCGTGCAGATTTAATTGCTCCACGTGATATTTTTTGCAGATGTAATAAAATTGAATTTTATTACAAGAAATTCTAAAATTAATTTTTTATTCAATTAGAATTTGAATAATTCGATTATAAAACGTTTAAAAAATACCAATATTTCACACAACTAATTTTATTAATTACTTCCATTATTTGTTTCATTAATATTACATTACATTGTGCATAATAAGTGTTTCATAAAACGAGAAAATAATGAAACTAAATCATTTTCATCACAAATGTCATTTATCACACCAATTAGTTTCATTAATATTAAATCTATGAGACAAAACACAAGTGTTTCATTAAGCTAAAAAAATTAAGTATTAGTGTAATTATGTAGTTTCATTAATATTTCATTCTATCACTGTATTCTATCACAAACGCATGATGACAATTTACAATTCTCTCTTCTTACAATACAGTCTCATCTAACGTCTCTTAATCTCATGAAATATCTTTTAATTTCATCAACTATCTCTTAGTTTCATTAACAAACCAGTTGCTTCATCAGATAAGATCTAATGGACCCAATTCATTAACCATCCCTTAATTTCATTAATATACTAGGAGCTTCGTTAAAGCAGAACTTATAAACTCATTTTCACCTAGTCCTGATGATCCTAGATGATCCTAGAGATGCCATCAATCATCTCTTAGTTTCATTAACAAATCAGCTGCTTCATCAAAAGAAGAACTATAACAAACCCAATTCCATGTCGTTCCAATTACCATTCTTTAGTTTCATCAACCATTTTTTAGTTTCATTAACCATCTCTTAGTTTCAATAACAAATCAGCTGCTTCTTCAAAGAAGAACTACAATAAACCCAATTCCATGTAGTTCCAATTTTCTTTAATTTCATCAACCATCTTTTAGTTTCTATCAACCCATCCTTTAGGTTCATCAACCCATCTTTTAGTTTCATCAACCATCTTTTAGCTTAATTAACCATCTCTTAGTTTCAATAACAAACCTGCTGCTTCTTCAAAGGAGAACTACAATAAACCCAATTCCATGTCGTTCCAACTACCATTCTTTAGTTTTATCAACCCATCTTTTAGTTTCATTTACCACCTCTTAGTTTTATTAACAAACCAGCTGCTTCATCAAAAGAAGAACTATAACACACCCAATTCCACGTAGTTCCAACTACCATTCTTTAGTTTCATCAACCATCTTTTAGCTTCATCAACCATTTTTTAGCTTCATTAACCATCTCTTAGTTTCAATAACAAACCAGCTGCTTCATCAAAGGAGAACTACAATAAACCCAATTCCATGTCGTTTCAACTAACATTCTTTAAGTTTATCAACCCATCTTTTAGTTTCATCAACCATTTTTTAGCTTCATTAACCATCTCTTGGTTTCAATAACAAACCAGCTGCTTCATCAAAAGAAGAACTATAACAAACCCAATTCCACGTAGTTCCAACTACCATTCTTTAGTTTCATCAACCATTTTTTAGCTTCATTAACCATCTCTTAGTTTCAATAACAAACCAGCTGCTTCTTCAAAGGAAGAACTATAACAAACCCAATTCCACGTAGTTCCAACTACCATTCTTTAGTTTTATCAACCATCTTTTAGTTTCATCAACTATTTTTTAGCTTCATTAACCATCTCTTAGCTTCAATATCAAACCAGCTGCTTCATCAAAAGAACAACTATAACAAACCCAATTCCATGTAGTTCCAACTACCATTCTTTAGCCTCACCAACCATCTTTTAGTTTCACCAACGAACCCATCGACAGTTTCATCAAAATCCGAACCCTCCCCCAGGTCCCCGACCGCCAAGTCCAAGCGCGCCATCTACGTCACCGGCGACGTCGAATCGACCGGCGGCCGCGGCGGCGACGCCCTCCTCGACGGCCCCGCCGGCGACGGCGCCTTCGACATCGTCGGCGGCGCCGGCGGCGAGGGCCTCGTCATCCTGCGCGGCCGCGTCACCGGCAAGGTGCGCAGCGTCGGCGGCGCCGGCGGCCACGCCAGCGTCCGCAACTACCTCAAGAACGTGCACAAGTTCAAGGGCAAGAAGCGCATCGTCGGCGGTACCGGCAACGTGGGGCTCGTCATCGGCTCTCAAGACGGCGGCGACGACGATGAGGAAGAAGAAGAAGAGGACGTGGAGGTCGAGCGTAGGAGGAGAGACCTGCGAGACCAGCAAGGTAAGTACTAAAAGAAGCTGTAGTAGATGAAGCGTCGCTCACTAGGAAGTGGTACCACTTCCAGGAGGTAGCAGGAAGAAGCGAGACGTCATCATAGGAGTCGGAGAAGATGGCGAAGGGTACGAAGTGAGGCGGCGACCCGGAGGCGGTACTCTCGTCGTCGGTGGACACGGAGGTGATGGTTTGGTGATCAAAGGTGGTACTCGTCAACGTGGAAACGCCATATTCTACGATGATGTCACCCCGTTGCTCGTCGGTAAGTCCTCTAACAGTTCCCAGGAGGAAGCAGGAAAACCGTCGGGGCGCAGGAAACGCCAGGCCGAATGTAAGTTCCCAGCAGAAGACCGCCAAGTAGCCATCTAAATTGCCTTTGTACAGTTTACGTTAGGCAGTTCAAAACGGCCAGCCTGCACAAGGCCGTCTTGGTGCAGGAGGTGTTCGCGCGGCAGGCGGGCAACGGTCCCTTAACGGTACTGGCAGAAGGTACCGTCAGGTTGGGCGACGACGGCGTCTCCGTCGACGGCAAAGTGTTCGTGAACGCCGGCAGCAGCTACGGAGGCGACGTCCAACGGTGGGAGGACAATTTCCTGAATAAGTGGGGCAATTTCAGAGTGAACTTCATCCGCACCAGGAGGAGGAGGAGGGAGCTGCGTGAGGTGGAAGGTACGTTGCGGGTGGCTGTCGCAGAATGTACATACTTTGCTAACTAACTGAGGACGGTCAGGACCAGCAGGATGTTCTAAGATGGTTGTAGATGTAGTAGAGGATGTTCCTGGATGGTTGTAGGAGATGGTGGTGAAGGGTGTGATTGTAATATCGAAACGTTGGGATTTTGGAGTACAATGAATAATCGTAAAGAGGAGTTTAAAGCACCAGGAAGTACTAAAGGAACTGGTGAAGATGGAAAGAAATATCTTAGTTCTTCTCCGGAAACCACCAGGAAGTTCTAATGAAACTGGTGAAGATGAAAAGAAATATCTTAGTTCTTCTCCGGAAACCACCAGGAAGTTCTAATGAAACTGGTGAAGATGAAAAGAAATATCTTAGTTTTTCTCCGGAAACCACCAGGAAGTTCTAATGAAACTGGTGAAGATGAAAAGATATATCTTGGTTCTTTTTCGGAAACCACCAGGAAGTTTTAAAGAAACTTGTAAAGATGAAAAGAAATATCTTAGCTCTTCTCCAGAAATCACGAAGGAGTTCCAAACAAATTGGTGTAGATGAAAAGAAATATCTTAATTCTTTTCTGGAAAACCCCAGGAAGTTCTAATAAAGCTGCTGAAGATGACGATGAGTATCACAGTTCTCCACTACGAAGTAACCAAGAAAGAAACTTCTAGTTCTTCCTTCTACTCGACCAACAAGTTTAACCACTTGAATAATTTCCAATCAGCCATCTTCTCCATCGCCGACCATCAAACACCAAAAGAACCAAGGAAAATCTCCTCCACCGAAACGTCCACCGCCCCCATTCGACGCTTTCCTGCTTCTCCACCCCCAAGCTAACACCCGCTCGACTTACCATCGTGGTACCTTCGCGGTACCATCGTTTATCTCGCTTCAAAGCTTTCCCCCCGGCAAAAACAGAAAAATATCCGAAGAATACTCCAAACGCAGCAGTAACCCAACCTGGATTTTGGACAATTCTGGACAATTTTGTACCATAAGAATACGCGACCTGGAGCAAAATCTTACCATTAACTCTCTTAAACTTCCATTTGCAGAAGACGACGATGAAGATGACGACGTTCCCGTGTTATCCCTAGGAAATGATGGTAGAGTGAGCCTGAATCGCAGGAATAAGAAGAAGAACAGACACCAAACCATCCAGATTCGAGGTGGAAACGGAGCCAAGGGTTTGGTGATACGTGGAAACGTCGATGGTGTCATAACTGCCGTTGGAGGAGCTGGTGGAGATGTTACACTTGGTGAAGAAGACAGTGGAACCAAACGAGGTAAGCACCAAGAAGTCAACACTCAATTGGATCATAAAAAAACACATCTTGCACCAAGTGGGATGATTTAAACTTGTTGTTCACAGGTAGGAAACCTTCTGGAAGCGGTGGAAAGAGACCTAGTGATGATGGATTCAGTTACTCCACATTCGAAGGCAGTGAAGATGAGGGAACTGATGATAATTCAAGGGGATCTGGTGTGAGTATCACCACTGGTAATAAACGAGGTAAGCACCATGAAATTAGATGATCATAGAGAGCTCTTAGCACCAGGTAGGATGATTAAAACTTGTTGTTAACAGGTGGAAAACCTTCTGGAAGGCGACCTGGTGATGATGGATTCAGTTACTCCATATTCGAAGACAGTGAAGATGATGGAATTGATGATAATTCTAGGGGATCTGGAGGAAGTGGTGTGAGAATCACCACTGGTAACAAACGAGGTAAGCATCAGGAAGTCGCCAAGAAGTTAAATCATCATCATAGAGAGCTCTTAGCACCAGGTGGGTTGATTTAAACTTGTTTTGAACAGGTGGAAAACCTTCTGGAAGCGATGGAAAACGACCTGGTGAAGACGGATCCAGTTACTCCATTTTTGAAGATGGCGAAGGCGGTAAAACTATCATCACGGAGGTGAGTTCCAAGGGACCTGCTGGAGGTCACGTGAGAATCGGTACTGGAGGAAAACTCGCAGTAAGCTCTGACGGGAAGAAGTCTTCAGCACGTGATGAAATCTACTTGGTGAGAAGTACACCATCTCCGAAGAGGACCCCACCTGGTGGTGATTACGCCGATACTGCGTTCTTTTAGTTATGGGATGGATTAATCAGTTTGCTTAGGTTAATGGTCGCCATTTTGTATTAGCTTTACTCTTGAAATCAATCAATTATCGATTGATGGATAAAGTATTTTTGCTCAATAAAGTATTATTAAAGTATTAGAATTGGGTTTTTTTATGAGGTAAATTTGACAGTTTTTGTTTGGAGATGGAGAATTTTTTAAGAAGATTTGAAGATGAAGAAAAATAACGAGGATGAGAAGGACAGCGATGACACTGAGGATGGCAACGAGGATGGACAGAATTTTTACCAATCCTTTAACTTTTGTAAACCCTGTAATTTTTTTTAAGGAAAAAAATTAGGAATAACAAATTAGCATAAATTTCTTCAGTGATATCAGTTAGTAATTAAATAAATAATTAATAAATTGCATTAATTATTGTAAAAAGATAAATACGGATAAAGTTCACGGAAAACCCGATCAGTGTACGTCTTGAGATAAATGAGATAACCCCTCGTTTAAATAAATTTATTTTTAATCGTATTTGCATGTTTATTTTCTTCAGATTAAAACGCTGCAATATCATTTTAATTGATGATAAATATAATCGTCCTTCTGCAATTTGGTAATTTAATTAAAAATTTTATACATTGTAAACAAACAAAAATTTTTGCCAAAAAGGATAGTCGAAAATTCGTCTAAAAACAAATTAATTTTTCGCAAAAAAAAACTCCAGAAAATTTCTGTACTAACAAAAAATATAGTCGAAAATTAACAATCCAAAAAACTTTGTCAAAAGAAATCCTCGTAAATTCGTCTAAAATAAAACAAAAATTTTACAAAAAGGACACTCGAAAATTAGTCTAAAATCAAACTAAATTTTTCTAAAAAAAACTCCAGAAAATTTCTTTAAAAACAAAGAATAATTTGCCGAAAATTAACGATCCATAAAATGTCCAAAAACAAATAAAATCCTCTAATAACCAATAAAAATTTACCAAGAAAGAACATTCGAAAATTCCTCTGAAAAACCAATAAAAATTTAACACAAAGAACACTCGAAATTTCCTCCAAACACCAACAAAAATTTTCCAAGAACACTCGAAAATTTCTCTAAAAACCAACAATTATTTACCAAGACGAACACTTAAAATTTCCTCTAAAAACCAACAAAAATTTATCAAGAAAAACACTCGAAAATTCCTTTAAAAACCGACAAAAATGTAACACAAAGAACACTCGAAAATTCCTTTAAAAACCAACAAAAATTCCCCAAAAAGTACAATCGAAACTTCCTCTAAAAACCAACAAGAACTTAACACAAAGAACACTCGAAAATTCCTCAAAACCAACAAAAATTTAGCAAGAAGAACACTTAAAATTTCCTCTAAAGGCCAACAAAAATTTACCAAGATGAACACTCGAAAATTCCTCTAAAAACCAACAAACATTTGCCACAAAGTACACCCGTAAATTCCTCTAAAAACCAACAAAAATTTACCAATAAAAAACCCTCGAAAATTCCTCTAAAAAACAAATCAAACTTTTGACCCAAACACCCCACAAATACCTCTAAAAACCAACATCAATCACAACCAAAAAAAAAATCCTTGCAATATTACGAATAAAAAAAACCACTTCTTAACGACGGGCCAGACCCACACCGCCTTCGGGCCCACAACAAAAAAATATTAATAAAACAAATAAAAAAAATAAAAAAAATAAAATAAAATTCCACCATCGAAAACCCGACCCGCCCGCCGGGGATTCCCGCCAATTACACGCCGGGTTTTCCCGCGCGCGTTTCTTCCCATTTCAAAACAACATTTCTTCAATAACTATCTTAAATAACCGGCTACTCTGTTTTCATCTCGCAGTAATCAAGAGTGCGCAGACGACGAAACAATCGAAACGAACTAATCGAGAATAAAATCACGAAATTATCGTAGCATGCTCAGTTAATTTCTTCGTTAATTAATCGATTAATTAAATTGCGAGAGGAAGATGTTTTGGCGATATTTGATCGCTTTGGGTAAATATAATATTCGGATTTGTTTTGTGCAAAATTTGTTATTTTTTATATTTTTGATTTAGGTATTTACGGACATGTTAGCACGTGTTTAGGCAGTAGGTGAGTAGGAATTTTTTAATAGTTATTTTTATAGTTTTTTTTATACTCCGTTCGCCATCAGGAAGTATCTAAGCTTCTTATAAAGCAGTAAATTCAATAATAGTAGGTACTATTAAATAAATAATTAATAATTTTATATAGACCGAGATCATCTTAAAAGTGCTATTAAGTTGCAGTAATTAATGTTGTCAAGATGATTTTAATAATGGTTAATTTAATTAATATTCCAATAAAGCTTTAATTACTAGATTATGAATTATACTTTTAGAAACTGGTTTCTTATGCAGAATATTACAATTTCTTTCTTCAACAAATTTCACCCTACACAGGGTGTTTCTGAAATAAGTGGTCAAACTTTTGGAGCAAGTAGAGAACATCAAAATGTGACAAAAATTTAAATGTCATTGGTTATCGGTATAAAGGGTGTTAAAGATGGATTCTTGAAGAGGTATTTTTATTAATAATTTCATTAATAGTGAAGGGAAAATGATGAAATTTGGTACAGGTACTAAACAAATGAAATGTCTTAAGGTACTATTAAATCGGGTTAAAAAAGTTGTCCAGGGTTGGGTTAAAATGGGAGATTCGTGGGGTAATTCTAACCTAACTTTTTTATTTTAACCTTTTCTATTGATTCGTTTAAAGAATATGAAAAAATGAAGTTTTTTACATCAAAAAGGTATACTTGTTGATATTTCGTAAAGTGAACCGTTTTTACGAAAAATTACTTTTAAAATTCCAATACACAAAATTATTAAACTATTGTCATCTTTAAAAATCTTGTAGAAACGAATTCTTTCAAAAATTTGATATTTCCGATAAAATAACATTCAAATTTCTGTCATATTTTGAGCTTCTCTTTTAGCTTCCAAAGTTCAAGCACTTATTTCTGATAATATTACAACTACTACAGTAAAATAACAGTAAAAGTTTTTGGAATTTTGACAATTTTTTTCATACAAAATTTACCTTCTATTACTATCTCCCGATAGCGAACGGAGTATAAAATCATTTTTTATCTTTTCCCGAAACTTTAACAATCTCTTCGTCGAGCAATTTAACGCGCAATTTACACTAATTTCCCGATTAAATCTTATTTACAACATAATCAACGAATTACGTCAAACTATAACAAATTTTCGTTTATTTTTAACGTATCTATTAATATTAATAACTCGAGAAACACAACATCATTATGACCAGTTATGCTAACCGCATCTTCGACAATTACAAGGTTATTTAAATCTTTTAATATTCTGAAAAATTGTTTATTTGTTATTTTCAGCGATTGCGTGTTGCCCGATCATCCGGCGGGCGGGAAATGGGAGGTGGTTAAAGGAAAAGTGGGATTTCCCGGTGATAAAGTGGATTCCAGTACTGTCCTGGCTTATACCTGTGATGGGGAAATCGTACCGTCTTATGTAGTACCGTGCAGTAGTACGGTACAGGTCCGTTGTAAAGGTAAGTTTGATTGGGTTGAATGTGGTTCTTGTACCAAGCGTAGCTCTCAAACGAGTCGGGCTAGAAACTTCCGGTTTGCGTCAATTTGTAGAGAAAACTTTGTTCTATAACTAACTAATTTGGAGTATTTTCGTAACTCTTGTAGTTTTAGAGTTATTTCAATTTTTCTTGATGATTATCTAGTTACAGAAAAACCGTTGAATATGACTCTTGTCCCAATTATTAAGCATAACTCTCAAACGAGTCGGGCTAGAAACTTCCGGTTTGCACCAAATTGTAGAGAAAACTCCGCTCTATAACTATTCTATTTGGAGTACTTTCCTAACTCATGTAGTTTTAGAGTTACTTCAATTTTTCTTGATGATTAGAGACTAATAGAAAAACCATAGAAGATGAGCCTTGTCCCAATTCTTGAGCATAGCTCTCAAACGTTTTGGGCTAGAAACTTCAGGTTTTTGTCAATTTGTAAAGAAAGCTCCGCTCGATAACTGTCCCATTTGGAATATTTTCCTAACTCTTGTAGTTTTAGTGTTATTTCCATTTTTCTTGATAATTATCTACTAATAGAAAAACCATTGAATGTGACTCTTGTCCCAATTCTTGAGTAGACCTCTCAAACGAATCGGGCTAGAAACTTCCGGTTTGCACCAAATTGTAGAGAAAACTCCGCTCTATAACTATCCTATTTGGAGTATTTTTCTAACTCATGTAGTTTTAGAAATATTTCAAATTTTCTTGATGATTATCTAGTAATAGAATAACCATGCATCAACTTCATATTTCCCTCTATAACTCCTAAACTACTCATCCTAAAATCTTCCAATTAGCACCGTTTTATAGGGAAAACTCCTCACTACAACTTTTCCATTTACACCATTTCTCTTACCCTCCTATTTCCAGAGATATTTCGATTTTTCACAAACTTACCAAGCAATCGAAAAGCCACACCAACAACTTTAAATTTCCTGCTATAACTCCTAAACTACTCATTCTAAAAACATCCAGTTTACACTACCCTATAGAAAAAACTCCTCTCTACAACTTTCCCATTTACACCATGTCTCTAACTCTCCTACTTCCCAAGATATCTCAATTAAAAAAAAAATCATACATATACTCCATTCAACTACACACTTCCGTGACGTCACCACCGCGTTATCTCACCGACCAATCGCAACCCGCAGGCAGCGTCCAGAAAAGAGGCATACTCGACTACTTCTTCGGCGGCGACGAAGAACCAACCTCCACCACCGCCTCCAGAGAGCGGCCCAGCCCCAGGCAAAAACCGCGACCCCCAGCGGACCCCTACGGCTCCCAACTGGAGATCCGCGGCGGCCGCGGCGGCGACGGCCTCGTGCTCGAAGACGGCGACCGCCTCGGCGCCAGAAACGCCGTCGGCGTCGGCGGCAGGGGCGGCGACGTCGTCGTCAGAGGCTGGCCCGACTACGGGGAACCTGTAGATGTAGAAGTGCGAGGCGGCGACGGCAGGACGGGCGTCGTCGCCTCGGGCGACTCCACCTGGGGCGGCTCCATAGTCGCGGTGGGCGGGCGCGGCGGCGACGTCACCATCGACGGGAACCGCCGAAGACCCACGAAAGATAGGA